TTCATTAATTTTCATTTTCATGTAGTAAAGGCTCTATGCCTTCATAAAGGACGTACTTTTCCTTTGTTTAAGGGTATTTGGGCAGTTTATTCTCTGTTGTATTCTCAAGCAAACAATACATACAAGTACAGTACAATATTTTCTGAGGAAACACGCATACTTATCCTTTTTTAACCCCATTCCTGATAACCCGGCATTTTCACAAACTCGGCCACCCTTAGGTCCACATTAGGCCGAGTTTTCGAGGCTCTACTGTATATTTAAAATGTAAATAGAAAAAGTTAAAAATAGAACGACTAATTTTACAGGACCAACAACTGGAAATAGAACATATAAAATGTTTATGATAATTAGGAATTAGAATAAAAGAGCATATTATACAAATTCTGCAGTGGCTGGTTGTCAAATAAAATTAGATAATGTAAAAATAAAGAAAAAAAGAACCAAATAATTATAAAAGGCAGTTATATGAACACATAGACTAAATAATAATCTAGGCAGGATAATCCACCAATTGTCGGTAAATTTTTATTTTTTTTGCTTTTTCTTATTTATCTATTTTATTATTTTATAGTTAAATTTAATAACCATTGTAATCCTGCTAATGAGGGGCATAATAGCCCGAAACACAGATGTTAAGCTACCTGTACACATACAATGGTTAATAAAGAAAGTCTGTTTAAGAACTTTTTCTTCAATTCTTGTGTAAAAATCTTAACACCAGTATAATTGTCCTGTTAATGTTCACGTTGACAAACATATAATAAGTATTTACCTTCTTTAAATCAGGAGTCGCGGTAGTGACTCCCTGCCAAGTAAGAGTCACTGACTACTATACATATAGTAAACAGAGTTGCCGATTTTTCGGGAATCGATTTCTCCGCCCCCCCAAACACCTAAAGTAATTCCGAATGTCTCGTTGGAAAGAGAATTGTTTTCTTAGGTAATATGCAAAATTTCAATATTTTCTATAAAGCGATTGCCGAAATATAAGCAATTGAAAACTGCAAAAATTATCAAAAAAACAACTGTATTTTCTTCTTCTGTCCACTACAGAACTCATAGAGAAAAAAACTACCGGGTCTAGAAAGCTCATATTTTAAACGTAAGCCTTTCTCGTTATCAGCGATGTTCTTGCCAAATTTCCAGATAGTTAGGTCAAAGTTCACGGGGGTTTCCCATAATCTATTTGTTTTACCGTTTAATTTTATTATGCTTATAAGAATAAAATTGCATGGAAACAAACTAATTTCATTCAAAATGTCACCTAAAATAACAAAAAGTTTTAATTAGCATAAATTTCGGCTTTTATGTAAACGACATGTCAAAAAATTAAAGGAAATGACGTAAAACAACAGGAAAATTATATATATATTACTAGCTGTTACCCGCGACTTCGCCCGTGGAGGTTTTGCAAGCAAACCCCATTTATATTCAGTATTTCAACAACCATAGTAATTGTTATACAACACCTACCGCCGAGAATGATGAGAATTACCGAGAATCAAACAAACTATTTTCAATTTGATCAATTTTCTGGAACGTTTACAATCGTTCTATAATCGAACCAATACGCAATAACAAATTGGAATTTAAAAAGGTTCGAACCCCTTAGGAATTTAAAAAGGTTAAAAAATCGAAATATATAAAAATATTTATATCAATAAGTCTGAAATGATATTAATTTAATACACTTAAGTACTTAATGAAGACTAAACGTAATAAAAAATCGCATGTAAAATAGTACAGTAGAAGCCGTTTTTCTGGTTAAGCCTTAATGCTCTCCCTCTCCCCCGCTGGGGAATTTCGAAAAATCCCTTTTTAGTGTGCATTCCCATGGTATACCCTACTAAAACGCAGATAAAAACAAAAAATCGCATCTAAAATAGTACAGTAGAAGCCATTTTTTCCGATTAAGCCTTAATCCTCTCCCTCCGCGGGGAATTTCGAAAAATCCCTTTTTAGTGTGCGTTTCCATGACGTACAGTACCCTAACTGTGTACCAAACTTCACCTCTTTAGATTCAGCGGTTTGCTCTGGGCAATGATGAATCAGTGAGTGTATGAGTCAGTCAGGACAAGCAATTTTATATATATAGATTTAAAAGATTTATGTAATTATTATATTTAAAGGAAAATTACATTAAACAAGGAAAAAGTAAAAGTGAAAGTTTTGTAATATCATAATTATTATTACTTAAAGGACAATACAGCTCCAGGTTATGGCTCCATTCCAATTTTATAATAAGAAATTTACCGAAGAATATTGTAGAATTCTTGGATAGACAATTTAATGATTTATGTAATACGAGTAACATTCCAAAAGACTGGGACAATTGTTCTTTACATGTTTAAAGAGGGTTGGAAAAACTTCCACAAAATTATAGACCTAAACTTCTTTCAAATTTATTAACAAAGTTTAACGATTGGGTTGAACAGAATAATTTGTTAAAAATGAGGGCACTCACTTGGCTTTATTTGTCTTAATTGCAATTATTCGATTACAACTTAATAAAAAGAGAGATAAGGTATTTACTATTTGGGCACTATGAGGTGGTGATTAAGCAAGAAACTAATTTTTATATGTTCGATCTTCGATTCAGCAGCTGCCTTACGTGGTGTGTACGAGTTTTTTTGGGGAATTAAAATTAAAAATGAATTATGGTAAGTCATTTGTGATGGTATTTCGTAATGGAAGAAGAATGGCATGATGTTTTCGTTGGAATATAATATACCTGCAAGAGTTCTCACACTTTAAAATGTGTCCTTTTTTATAAAAGAGATATTGAGATGTTACCATCAAAGAGAGGTTTACTAAGCTCCAGATTGATCCACAATGTTTTGGAATGCCCACAAATTAATGGTTATTTCTTTTTGAATTTGTCTTTTAATATTAAAAAAAAAATCTTTTATAATACAATTATAAGATTAAATAGGGAGCTGGTATTAAAATTAAAGTTTTGTAAAGAGTATGTATACCTCTTTACACCTTTGTAGTCATCTTGATAGATTCCCTGAAAACTTAGGACAATTTAGTGAAGAGCAAAACTTACGGTTCCACCAGGACCTGAAGATCTTGGAAGAGCGCTACCAAGGGAAATAGGATAAACATATGATGGCAGAATACTGCCGAAGCATTGAACTGAAATAGGCAAGAGCCTGAAATGGAAATTCATGCCTTGTATAGTACCAAATGTGTTATGTAACAATCAGTTGATGCCTGTCTGTGTTTCCATGTTTTACCATTACAGACATGTAGACTATTTTGCAATGTAATGTTTATTAATCACTTCATTTTAGGACATTTTAGGACCTGTATGTACAGTACCAATGAAGGAATTTACATTATTTTATAATTTGTACGCAAAGAGGTTAATGAGTTAAAAATTTGTTTGCAAATAATCGTAATAAATTATTATTATTATTATTTTTTTAATACTAAAACTTTACAGAATTGTATTCATTACAGTAAAATGCAAAATTTGATTCTATTTACAAGAAAAATTCGTAAAAATTACATTGAATTTAATCTTAAATGTTTTCGATACTTATCAACAGATGGAGCCACGAATTATAATACATATATTCGTGTGTGTTTGTGTGTGTGTGTGTGGGTTCCTAGAAAAATATTAATTTTTAGTAATTTGTCGAACAAGAATTGAGATAAATGGTGCCCAAACTTTGCAATTGGGTGGCCAATTTCTATTATAAGTGGCGTGTGAAATATTTTGTCTGGCCGGATTTGGCCCGGAGGTCTTAGTTCAGCTATCACTGTTGCAGTGTTTATTGTAGTATGACGTCACGAAACGTTTTTTGGGTCATGAGGTTGACCGTGAACTTCCGCGTTTTGGGGGGTTAAATAAGACATTTTAACGAAGTTATGATCCAAAATTCACGTGTTTTTTTTTTAAATACAAGAAAATCGTTCCTTTGTTTTATATAACAATAAGGAAAAGTTCGCTAAATTGTTAAAATTAATTTTGAATGATGACATTTTGAAAGATTAAGTGTCAGTGCGATTGGTTGGTTGCTTGTTCGTACGTTAGAGGATCCACCAATCACACTTGGCCATATGACTAATAGTGTGTTATATTTTTTGTGTTATACTCTGCGATTTGGAGTGTGAAGTTTAGTGTTGGAAAGCCAAGTCATGTGTGGTTGGTGTTTTACGTTTCTTCTGTTCTTTGTGTCTTCTATATCATGTATAGAAGATGACGTTTATAATATTGGTGTTGGTATCAGCGATATTACTGGCCCTGCTTCTGGTGTAGCTATGGTAATGTATTCTTTTCAATTATTTAATTTTTAATAATCAAATTTTTAAAACAATTATTCATCATTTAACAGCTTGTGTTGTATTTCTTGAGGATCTAATGTATATTCTTCTATTAATTAAACACAATAAACACAAGATTAAAACACTTGAAAGTTTGTGTTTTTGTTGTTTACTGAAGAAATACAGGAACATACACAAGAATAACGTTAAATACAGTCGACCCCCTATAACACTGTTGAATATTCCGTTTTATATGAATTTCATGTTGTACGAGTCACTTAGATTTTACAAATACGTGTGCCGGGCTGTTAACTGCTCACGTATTTGTAAAATCTAAGTGACTCGTACAACATGGAATTCATATAAAATGGAATAATCAACAGTGTTATAGGGGGGGTCGACTGTATATATTTAAAAATTCATTTTTCTCCACATTGAAACGTATAAAAAAGCGAAATGCGATACAAAAATAAACACTAATTTATCATGCATTAAACACCAATTCTTTCCTTCTTTAACGGAAAGAAATAGTATTATAATTTTAGCATTTAAAAAAAAAAAAAACACAGTTTGCATCATAGAAAAGTCAAAAAAATTTTTAAAAATAACTATAAATGAAGCGAGTTTATTGATGCGGTAACAATGGAAGGTACTTCAGCAATATGGATTAAAATTAATTCCAATAAAGTTTTAATTGTTTTACACCGTGGTAAAAAGCATTTTAAAATCGCAATTTAAGTGGTTTTCAAGCAAAAAAAAAAAGGGCATAAATTCCTAAACTTCCGTTTCTGGAATCACTAAAAATCTCTTTAAATATTATTATTACTTTTTGTTAAATCCGATAAAAATTTATGGCTATTTAGTAAATTTTTTTTTCGGCCATTAAACTTGTAGATTTACGCTCCTAGGCGTTATGAATATTCAAAAAATGCGGCTAATTCTTATACAAGGAAGCAAAATACTAAAATTAAGCTTGTTGCAAATTGATTTTAAAATTTAATATTATTATTATTATTATTATTATTATTTTCTTTTAAAGATGGGTTACGTTAAAATAAGTCAAGTAACTTCGGGTATTCACTTCAGACTCTACAGTCGTGCCTTCATTATCGATGATAACACAACACGCATTGTTTTCGTGTCCATTGATTCTTGCATGGTATCCCAATCGGTAAAAACTGAGGTGAGATTAAACTTATGATTCTTCTTCTTTTATTACCATAGACTATAAGATTTTTTAATTATTATAATAGTATAATAAAGAATAAAATGCTCGGATGATGTAACGCATTTGAAAACACGAGATGAATGAATCATTGTTTGATTTTAGAAAAGACTATACCGGATATAACGCGCCATTGATTTCACTAGATTTCGGCTTTATTATGGTCTACAATGTTATCGATTCGTGTCGATAAATCTAATTTATGTTACGTCACAAGACAAGCGGGTTGATGATCTTGCCCTCTAAACCTTGTTAAGAGTTGATCTATTGTTGCAAAGGAGGTTGCAAATTCGGGATGCGTATGATTTTTTTTTTTATACTTTGCTTCTGATTAACAAAGTAATAAGTGTTATCTAGGTTACTTCTATGGTTTTATTAGAATACGGCAATGCAGCACGTGGGCCATCTGCCAAGAGGGGATGCCTCCCGGGAGGACTTTTAATGGGGAAACTTATTTACATTTTAGACACGTGAAGAGAACCGATGAGGAGTGGTTTTTCTCGGGTGGTGTAATCATTTCTAGTGAATTGCCAGTTACACAGAAGCAAACAATAAGCCCGTGTGTGAAGTACTTCATAAGGCAAATCTGGTAATTACGTAGGGCGTACACAGCTATGCAAATTAGCTAGTTAGAGCGCATTGCAAAGCGGTGTTTATGATTTGCGATAATTGACTGTGTAGTTTATAGTATAATATAAAGCTTATTTTTTTTCAAGACGTGTTTTGAACATGTTTAAAGATTTAAGATTATCTAAAATGATAATCTTTCGCTATTTGTGCGATAATAAATTAATCGATACTTATCAACAGATGGAGCCACGAATTATAATACATATATTCGTGTGTGTGTGTTTGTGTGTGTGTGTGTGGGTTCCTAGAAAAATATTAATTTTTAGTAATTTGTCGAACAAGAATTGAGATAAATGGTGCCCAAACTTTGCAATTGGGTGGCCAATTTCTATTATAAGTGGCGTGTGAAATATGTTGTCTGGCCGGATTTGGCCCGGAGGTCTTAGTTCAGCTATCACTGTTGCAGTGTTTATTGTAGTATGACGTCACGAAACGTTTTTTGGGTCATGAGGTTGACCGTGAACTTCCGCGTTTTGGGGGGGTTANAACTTTTTATATGCGCAGATATAAAAGAGATTAGAGGAGAGGATTAGAGGAGGAAATATTTAATTAAATTTGGTTTTTTTAAAAGATTAAAATTTGAAATTACTGTTGAATGTTTGAAAAAAAAATTGGGTCATTATTCAAGTAACAATGTTCTGCATCAAAAAATCTTTTCTTTTCTCCTTTTAACAATGATATCTTTGTTGCAGAACATGAGTTTGAAAAGCTACTAGACTTCCTAGATGCATTGATAGACATAGTTCATATAACCTCATTATTCATAAATTCAAAATATTGAGTGTATATATATTTAAAATGTGTTTTATTCTAGTGAATAATCTTGAGGTGGTTAGCAAATCTGAAAAGTTTCTGTTAAATTTTATGTATTTTAATCCCATAATTTCTATAGTTAGTTAAATAGAAGAACTGGGTGAGTATCCTACACATAATTTGTCCTCAACAACACTTAAATTTGACATGATGTCATCTAGAGTGGTGTAGAGTTTGTTCTATTGGGAGTAGATAGCTGTAGGATACACATACTGTCTATCCTATTGCTAATTATCTTCTTTAATTAAATGAAGCTGAGGATTAGAGTGGTAAAAATGAAGGTCCTATTTAATGTAGAGAATTATATAGGACCTAATTAATTAATTTTTGTAGTTCTGATGATAAAATTTTCAGATGGCCTTCCCATACAAATGGCATCCGACCGTACTCCCAACACAAATTTTAAAAGTGGGGCAATTGGCAATTGTTGCAGTACCTGCCGAATTTACGTAAGTAAATCCTTTAATAAAAACAATTTTTCAATTTTAAAATAATTAATTACCTAAAACAGAAATGTAATTTGGTCAAAATAGTACAATGGCTGGGAGAAGACTTAGAGAAGCAGTGGAAGAAGTAAGAGAAATTAGTTTGAATGTTAACAAATATATTTTTAATTTTAAAAATTTAATTTAAATATTAATATTTAAACAATTTATTTAGGTTATCAATGAGACAGAAGAGGACAATAAAACAATAGCTGTTATTGCAGGTCTGAGTAATGCTTATTCGTCCTATGTAACTACGTACGAGGAGTATCAGGTTAGTTTAGTGGCATAAAAATAGTGTTCATGGAGTGAAAATATTATAAAATATACGCTTTAACATTTTTAAAACAGGTTCAGAGATACGAGGGAGCATCGACCCTGTATGGACCTTACACTTTAGATGCTTATATTCAGCAGTATAAAATGTTAGCTAACAATATGATGCTAAGAAATGATTTATCCGAAGGTCCAGAGACACCTAATCTTCTTAGCAAACAGTTCAGTTTCAATCGTAGAATGTTGTTCAACATTGCACCATTTGGCAAGAAATTTGGAGATGTTCTAGAAGACGTCAAAGAAAATTATACGGTGGTAAGTGGTGCAAAATTTGGCCATTGTTGGCAACAAGTATCATATATTGGTTAGAAGTTAAGTACGCTCCTCTCCATTCTCTGCATAAATTTAATTTTCACTTATGTTCCTTTTGTGTCTTTATCTTGAGAGGTGGCTTATTAAGATGACCTCTTTCTGTATACCCAGCAAGTGGTGAGGGATAAAAATTTTAACCTCTGTTTCCAGAATGGAGGTGATTTAAATTGTTTGAATTTTCTTAACTCTACCTTAGAACAGTAGAAGTTGTCTTTCACAGTGCCTATTATACCGAAGCCCTTTCTACCAGAAAAATTTAAAAGGAGACACAAGGTCATGCGGAGAGACTTTGTAGCCACTCATAAAGAATTTAATTAATTAATGCTAAATTTTTACAGGGTTCGACAGTGAAAGTCACCTTCGTTAGTGGTCACCCTATTAATAACATGAAGGTAATGTAAGATTATATATTTTAATAGTTTAATTTAGGATCCAATAATAATTGCGAATCATTCTTTTAGTTGGATGACACATTTTTGACTGTAGAAAAATGGAAAAATGATACTTCAGAATGGGAAGTAGTGGCCACTGATGCTAATTGGGAAACAAAGTATGTCTTTAATATTTATTTGTCTAATTCAAAACACAATATTGCATTTTATATTATCAATAATTACACTTTTAAGGATCATTTTGTAAAACAAAATTCTGAGAAATTTTGCATTTAATCAGTGGATCTTGTTCTGAGGGACAATGAAGCTTACACTAACTGATACCATTCCATTTTTAATTTTTCCTTAAATGATTAGAATTCATCATCTGATCCCCTACCAATGTTTACGAATTAATTAATAATAATTTATTGCATCCTATTCAAATATACTAGTGGAACATCCTGAAGTGTGTTACCTAATGCAACATATGTTGAGAGATGAGAAAAAAGCAAATGGTTAAATTTTTAGCAAGTACAACTTAGCAGATTGAATTTAGCCTTCTTTAATTTAAAATTTATTATTATTATTAATTTAATGAGGTTTGTTTTGCCAAACCACGCCGCACAACACAGGAGTTTTTACTATATAACCATCCCTTTAAGTTTGAAAGAGGATGAGGTCCTCTTTGAATGTCATAATATCAAAATTTAAGTAGTATCAATCAGTAGGATTTATTAATATAAGCTGCATCTATCTTGAAACTGTTGGGCAAAGTTAGAGTACAGGAGAATGAGAGAGTGCAGATTATATATATGGTAAATGCATTCTAAACTCTTGGATTTGGGGGGTCATCTCCTGTAATTCTCTATTTAAATGCATTGTTTTAGCAAGAGAGTGCTTGCACTCATTAGTCATCCTCATTCCAGATCAGTAGATACATAAATGGTGCATAACTAGAACACACGTGCCATCAGATCTCCACTCAATACTTCAAATTGTAAGCATAGGATGAGATACTTGGAATAACATCCCTCCAGAGAATCAGTTTCCATCACAAATGGGGAGTGGCACGCTGGATTCTAACACGTGTACGTTGCGGGATATTCATCCCATGATTAATTATTAGCATAAATCTGTTACAGAATGCAAAATTTCATCCTAAATGAGCATTTTTTTCAACTGTTCCACTTTCAATTTCCGCTAGTGCGTTGTGTACAGGATGTAATAAATTAAAATTTATACGTGTATAACGATATCAAACGTTATTAATTAATGCTATTTTACATGGTAACCGGATGCCATTGACTTATATTATCTTAGAAAGATATTTCTCAGAATTAGTCCCCGTAGATTTAATGCTATAAACGGGAATTTCTTTATCGGGAAACGTGTTAGAATGGGTAATCGTAAAAGCGGGTTCTCCTAAGATCATTAACATAATTCATTCTCATTTTATTTTATTTTTATTTTAAAGGTTCTACTGGAAAAATTCGAATATATGGCTTGGAAGTTTAGGCAAAGCGGAAATATTATGGGACATACCGGAAGATACCGAACCAGGAAAATACAGGATACGCCATTTTGGAACTAGTAGAAATGTGTTACAAAGGATAAATTCCTTCGAGGGCATTTCTAGTCCGTTTTTGGTTATTAATGATTAAAAAAATGATAGTGGGAAAGGAGGAGAACGGGTTAGCAGTTAGTAGAAATGTCTTGTTAAAAAATATTTTAATTGATTTATCATTTTATGTGATTTAATATTGTATATAAATGGACGGTAAAATTGTATATAGCAAATTAATATTTATTATTCTGGAATCATTAAAGTTTTATTTAATGCATTCATTTGTTTTTTTTTTCAAGTCTTAATAATATACATTTAAGCAGTCTTTTTTCGAAAGTTTATAAAGAGTTAAATATGAACACCAGTTATGTAGTTGAAGCAGTAAAGAGCCTCTGAGGGGGTCTAGATCCAGTCCAGGTGGAATGCGCTAGATATATGAGGCCCTATCCACCAGATAGTTTCATTGTAACTCTGGATGAGTACGTCTGTTGTAGGTAGTACGATACTGACAACACCCAAGCAACAACACACTGCAACTGTGCCAACTAGATTTAGTGTCTAGCATATAGAATGAGGATTAAATTTTTATTTTCTCTATATCCACGCATCACGTGGCGACACACGCAATTTCATTATCCCAATTGTAAAAAAACCAGCAACGTGTTGCTTAACTTTCCCGGCAACATTTAAAATTACTTGTGACGCTATGTGTTATAATTAAGGCTCGGATTTTTAAGACCTAAAATAATCCCAAAAAAACTGAAAAAAGACCTAAAAATTTTGGAAGATGAGCATTAACTGAGGATAATTCAGATTTCCTTTTATCTCGTACAGTGTTTTAATTATCAAGTTTTCATACATGGCATTGTTTTACTTCGTGATTGCACTGTATTACCATGCGCCCACGTAAATTTTTAAACTTGAAAGATCGACGGTTGTCTGCCAATAGAACTTTGTATTTGCTGAATGATCTTTCCACATCACACGTTGTCACGGGTGCGTACTTGAAGAAGCTGATGTCACTGCTTCATAGCTCGGGTTAAGACCTATAAAAGCCTTTCATTTATACTCAACATGTCTGTGAAGTAGAGAGTTCAGTCGGACTCAATGAACAATTGAAATGAAGAGAGTCAGGCCCGAAAACACCCGAGGCCCTAAGCCTTGTAGCTTAATTACAGCTTATAGATGAATCAGACCTTGTTCCCGGTAGGATTTTCTATGGGAAAGTGGTTCCTATTTAGACATTAAACACGTGAAGAAACCCCAGAAAACTTGGTCAGCACACTGTTCGGCTGCGAACCCGCGATCAAATACCAGTGCTCATTCATTCGGCCATTGATGGGCAGAATTTCAGAAAGAAACATTTTCTTGCATTTTCATAATTTTGTCATCTGAAGTATTTAAGGGGTAATAATTTAATTAATGGACAGGAGAGAAAACAACATAAACTTCATCTCAGCCATTTTTATTCTAAAAATACCGATTCTTGACCCCTGATACATCTACCTGGAATCTAATCCGGACAAATCAAAAAAATTTTAGGAATTTTTTGGATTGCCCCATTGTATGCCTGCAGAACCCATAATGGGCTTGCTAAAAAAAAGGCCTTATTAGTGCCCACGGGGCAAAAAAAAAGTTTAAAAAATCTCTAAATATTCGAATATTGCAAATATACAGAATTAATATGGAAGTTTAACCGTGAAATGGTACAAAGAAGAAACCAAAAGAATAACCTTCTATAAATCATGTTTAAATTTACGTAAGGTCTCATTTGTAATAAATTTTACATATAACCTCCACTGACAGCAACTTTCTAACAATGGCTACCACTAAACGGCGGCCATTTTCTTAGGCACTTTTCTGAATAGTAATGAATACAAAATAACCTTCAAATAACGGCCATATTTTTTTATATTCCCGTTAGTGGTCGTTGTTCAGAGGTTTGGTAGTAATTCTATAAAGAAAATTATATTTTGAGATTAAGAAATAATGTAAAATTATTCCGAAGGAACTCAATAATTAATTTACGATTTCTTTAGTGTATTAGAATGAATTTTAAAGAAGAAACTCGTAAGATTGCGGGTCAGACTTTCCTCCTTTAAACAGACTTTATATTTGTATAAAATGTTATAAATTAAATATTTGATATTTGTATATAAACAGAATTTTCAATTGAAAGTTTATATTTATTTGTTTGTTTTTTCCCTAAATAGTTATCAGTTGATGTAAGCTGCAAGTGTTTCTGGGAAAACACATTCTGCTGTTTAAAGTCTGTGAAAAATATTATTATTTCTCAGAGTTTTGTTTTCCAATAATCCATTTTGTAAGCATAAACGGGAGATAAAACTGCTATTATTGATGATAAAAATACAATATGGCAAGTTGGATTAGATAATTGTTATACAATATAATACGTATTGAACTGGAAAAAGTTTTCACATATTTATAATTGAAGGATAGTTTTTAATCGCCTACCTTTTAGCAAGGTCTATCAGGACACCGATGTTTCCTATTGAGCCGCCATATTGGATCTTCAGTTCCAAGGTCGCGGTATAGATTTCATGCTATGTATGTGCAATGCACATACATAGCATGAAATCTATACAGTTCCTTCGAGTTCGAGCCGCGAAATTCCTTTTATAATTTCTAGGCTTTAACTAAATAGGTTTCAAAATAAAAAGCTATGACAATGGTTCGTATGATACAGTACGAAGATAAATTTATTTAGTTTTGAAATGCAAACTTAGAGAAGAAATTTGGAGATACTGTACTTGTTAAAATAAAAATATATTTAATTTTTTATATTCACATGCCTTTTTGCATTACACAAATTGCAAATAGGAGCTCAGAGCAAACATTTTTATAAATTAAAATTAGATGAAGAGAAAAGAAAACCATTCTCACAAACTTTATATATTATGTAAAGTAAACCTTCAAAGTGTTTGCAAGAGATAATAAGAAAGTTATTAAATGAAAAAAGTTATGCATATAAATTAAATTAAATTATTTTTATAGAAAATTAAACAAGTATATTTGTAAAAAATATGCAATTTGTACTATGTTACATTACTCTCAATTGTTATAAAATATTAATTTCAATGACTGTATTTTATTTTAAAGTATTTTTTCAGTCTACAAACATATTATAACATTTATTCTGTTTAATAATTTACATAATGTTGATATAAAACCTGTCAGAAAATTAAAACTTTACCACAAATTGTCTATAGACTATTACTAATCTGAGAACCATGTTTTGATGTAATTTAAACAGGATTAATTAAAACATACTTTAATAATGGATACTGGAAACATTTTAAAATAAGTGTTAAATATTAAAGCAATTTATATAAGTTTATATACTGGATTTTTTGTTTTCAACTAACAACATAAAATGAAACATGTTCACACTAAAAGACAGTATATGCAGCAAATAGCATTATTTGTATCAAAATAGGAAGTTATAATAGCAATAATAATTATAAAATATGCAATAAATTTCTGTTGAATTTTTCTTATGTATTCAAGCAATTTTGTATGACTGTTGTTCCTAATAAAAAGAAAACATCAACTACAAGTGGAAAATAATTTTCTGTAGTCTTTTAAGCAAGTAATCATTATTTATAAAAACATTTATTATTATATTTTAGAAATCTTACAGAGCAAAAATCTTCACAATAATTTAATTAATATATGTTTTTGAAAGTAATTGGTTGGTGAATATTTCTTATGATAATATTATGTTGTTCCTGTGATAAATATATTTTTTAAATCTGAAAAAACAATGTTTAATGTCCTAAAAACATTTGTTAAGAAAGCTTTAAAAATGTAAAATCATGTTTTTTCTTAATGTACTAATATGGAATAAGGGTCAAATTTACCTTAGGTAGCCAAAATGGCGGCGGTTAGGTTCGTTTCGTTTCCGTTAGATTAGGTACATCTTTAGTAGACATTGCTTTTATTATTATTATTTATTTTGTTCAAGAACTACTGTGAATAAATAACTAGTGACATTTGGCACTCGGCGGCTCCCCTCCGGGAGGAGTCCGTCTGGACCACGAACAGTCAGAGCGCGGCCATGTTGGCTACCTAAGGTAAATCTAACCGAAATCTTTAATGCAGCATTTCTTCAATTATTTACGATAAAAATTTATTATTATTCAATTCTAATAATTCTAGTTCATCTGTATATAATCACTAATAAACCATTACTTACATTAACTCTTAAATCATCACTCTCCTGGAACTGTCAGCTGGAAAACGGAATAATCTTACACCTTCGGCTGTCGAATTTTTACAGTTCGGTGCTGAATGTCATTTAAAAAACAAATAAATAACAAGAAATACACTCTAGAAACACCATACACGTGGTCTCAAAGGACCCAACATGGCGACTGCCGAGATGCATCACGGTATCGCGTCCAGACCTTACTTTTTAGCCCAAATTACTCCCGGTAATGGATCCGGCATTATCATTTAATTATAAAATTCAATGCTAAGTTATTTTCCGGTAATTTTATTTAGTAAATATAATAATAAATTGAAAATAACAGTTTATATTTATGAAAAATATTAACGAAAATTTTTTTTGTACAATAAAAATGCGGAATTTTATTTTCTAACCTGCTTGCTTGCGCCATCTAACGGGCAAAATAAAAATAAAAATGGCGACGTCGGAAATAGGAAGCGGGCGATTTACTTTTCCCAAATCACTTCTAAAGTTTCCCTGTCGTAAAAGAAATTGATAATAAAGTTAATTTAATATGTTTCAGGACTTTTATATCGAGAAATCAAAAAGCTAACTTAACTATTCGTAGAAATATTATAAAAGTTTTTCTTGCACTATTATTAGCTAATTGTGGAAATAAAATGTCGGAAACAGATTCGAATTTTTTGGCTGAAATATGGCTGCATGTGGCATATTTTAGCTCTAATGCTACGGAAGTGGCGTAATAAATATTTCTGCCACTTCGAGCGCTGCAATCGCTTTGAGGCGTAATTTTTTCTTGGGCTGCAAACATTCGAAATTCTATTTAATGACGAAATTTTCTTATTTTTACGTAATTTTACTAGCCAATAGCAGGCTTTTATTCAATTTTGATCGATTCACTCCAATTATATGGATACTGGCGCCATCTAACGACTGACGACGGCAACATTATTTATATTGTGTACGTTAACACGCCCAATAAGTAAATATACAAAAATCACGTATAGAATTTTATTATACAAAGCATAATTTGTACAAAAATTGAGATCACGTTGTACATATATATTTTTTAAACATCTTAATATATATATATATATATATATAATTCAATACTTTGTATAATAATTTAAACTTTATTCAAACCTATAANATTTGAAAACACGAGATGAATGAATCATTGTTTGATTTTAGAAAAGACTATACCGGATATAACGCGCCATTGATTTCACTAGATTTCGGCTTTATTATGGTCTACAATGTTATCGATTCGTGTCGATAAATCTAATTTATGTTACGTCACAAGACAAGCGGGTTGATGATCTTGCCCTCTAAACCTTGTTAAGAGTTGATCTATTGTTGCAAAGGAGGTTGCAAATTCGGGATGCGTATGATTTTTTTTTTTTATACTTTGCTTCTGATTAACAAAGTAATAAGTGTTATCTAGGTTACTTCTATGGTTTTATTAGAATACGGCAATGCAGCACGTGGGCCATCTGCCAAGAGGGGATGCCTCCCGGGAGGACTTTTAATGGGGAAACTTATTTACATTTTAGACACGTGAAGAGAACCGATGAGGAGTGGTTTTTCTCGGGTGGTGTAATCATTTCTAGTGAATTGCCAGTTACACAGAAGCAAACAATAAGCCCGTGTGTGAAGTACTTCATAAGGCAAATCTGGTAATTACGTAGGGCGTACACAGCTATGCAAATTAGCTAGTTAGAGCGCATTGCAAAGCGGTGTTTATGATTTGCGATAATTGACTGTGTAGTTTATAGTATAATATAAAGCTTATTTTTTTTTCAAGACGTGTTTTGAACATGTTTAAAGATTTAAGATTATCTAAAATGATAATCTTTCGCTATTTGTGCGATAATAAATTAATTTAACCTTATGTAATTACATTTCTCTATTAAAAAAATATGTCAGCGTTTTAGAAAATATGTATAAAATTCATCATTTTATTAAGTTTCAATCCGGTTTTTATACGTACGAAGCTATCTATAGTATCAGATTGCAATGAACGATATCGAAAATATGTGTAATGGCATATAATCAATTATCATGTGACTTTTTTTTTGGTTCGATGACCTGATCTTCTGTACTTTCTACCCTAAGAACAAAAGAATAACAACACAATACTTTTGTTTTCAATTTTCCTCCAAACTGCTTTCACCATTTAGCAAATTATTCTCACTTTTCCTGACTTTTGTTAAAGTTAATAGCGTAATATCTGATAATTTCACACGTTAACAGCTGTACCATACTGTATTAATAATCAGCAATGAGGAAAATTGATTATAATTACGGAAAAATCATCGAAAATTTATGCACCTTTGCTGTTTGCTACTGTTCCAATAACAATTTTAATTAAACGGAAGCTTTGATAGATACTCTTAATAGAAAACTTATTCTAGAGATATACACGAAGACCTCACGACCTATATTGGTATTTCCTGGTAGCACTAAGCTATTTATCTGTTTCTATAATCTAAAATATAAAGGGAAACATGGACGATCTTCCAGTGGAAACGTTAACTTTTTTTTCCATGGTTAAACTGTTTAAAAAATTGATAAAAACCACTTAAATCTGGAGGAAAATGCCCTTATTACTATAGTGGCGTAGCGTTGCAACTGGGTTTTACAGAGTAATAACAGCCGGAAGATCAAAGTAGGTCAGACTTGATGTTCTGTAGGATGTCCTCCGGCTTCTTCTTTATATTTTTAGATAGACAGAAAAGTTTACACGAATTTATTATTTATCTCTATTTAAAGAATTATCAGTTCTTCTCTTTAATGTAGGATGATTATCTATCGGATTTCCGCATTCTTCAATTTTCACGACTATTTTTAATGCTTTCGTCTAGGAAGATTGGGCGTAGCGAATATGGCAAACTATAAAAAATGGCAGTGGAGCTGTAGGGAAATAAAAGTTCGTTAAACTTAAGAAACGATTGTTTTGTATTAATAATATTTAGTTTGTGCTGTTGCAATAACGTATATACATCGTTTCTATCTTTAGTTGTGCAGTGTTTAATCTGTTGTTAACTTATATGCATGTGGGCGCATAAGGTAAATATACTTGTGCACATTTTTATATAGTTTAGTTAATCTCATCCTATAATAAAAAGACAGATAGTTTGTGATTTAAGGTGTCTATCTCTACAGAAAGGAAAGGATGAACACGAGTTCAGACCCTTCTGATGGGCCTCCATCTGGAGTTGATTGCGGGTTAGCGCCTGACTGGAGTTTTTCTAGGTCTTCACGTGTCTATCACCTAAATAGGAGCCAGTCTCCCATAGAAGTCGTTCCGAGAGGCACCCCTCCTAAGGCAAATAGCCATGTGTTACTTTGCTTTATTCCATCAAACCATTCTTGTTTGGATGTCTTCAAATGCCAAACATGTCTGCATGATGCAGAGACAATAAACACAGAGGACAAAGTTTGAGAATGCTTCGTTATTGGGCAGGATGGCCGTTTTGCCTTCTTGCGCACTATGTGGGACATTCTGACCTGAATTGTTGCGGCAGTGGATATGTCAGGATGCACACACAGTAGCCAGAAAACTGAATGTCCCAAACAGGTCACTAGCAGAAATGATTGTCTAATCATGTGAGACATATACAAACAGCTGCAGTAGTATTTTTATCCGAATTCAAAGACAGGTGAAAAGCCTTACTGCAGAACCTCGTGTCTTCCTACACCTTTGGCAGGCGACTATCAGAGACAAATTTGCATGTAAGGCGACTGCTACGTGTTCTGCCATTAGCATTCCAACACTGTCAGCTTCATTTGTAGTGGTGCATCACAGAGAAGAATATACTGTTGCGTATCACATTTAGCAACGAATCTTGGTTTTGTTTAGAAACAGGAAACCACTGTGTTGGACTAGAATACTACAGGTGAGTGCTTCAATCCCTCAATTCCACCTTTATTGTTTAGTGGTATACTGCCCCATAGTTGCCCTGGTCTAGTGAACCATCTCGCATGACAGTCTGTCACTCCTAGTAATGGTGCAAAGGACAATTATAGCATAGCAATATGTTTAGGAAATCCACTGTTGCCTTTTATGGCAGGGCTGCAGACAGCCATTTTCCAGCAAGACATTTAGGATTTCTCAGGTCCATCACATCACTAAACTCCTTTGCCTGCCTGATGTCACCTGTCAAGCATTTGTGGGACCAAATTATACAAATACAATTTAATAAGCTATACACAGAACTTTTATTGGCATGTTAAGTTATCAATAATTATGAAGACCATATTTTCTACTTTTACACAATTTTCTAGGTAATTAAAAAATTACAAGAAGTTTATGGTGACATATACACAGAGAGTAATGTGTGCATAAGTAGTAGCCACACACATTCTGCACCTGGTGGATACCTGCAATACTTTCTCTATGTAATCCCTTCTGGTGGTTTCATTAGAGAAACATTTGATGCCCAAGTTTCGGGGATATTCAAGGTAATAAAAGTTCAGAAACCTCTTAAATTAATTAACAATCATCTCATTTAAAATATATCTCCATGTAGAGCATAGTTAAAGCTCACGAGAATATGCAACCTGGGCGTATCTTCTGGAACCAAGGAGAGTTGTATAACATCAGTGTTAACAGAAGTCCCAGTGCATATCTAAGAAATCCACCAGAAGAAAGGGAAAGGTAATTAAAATAATACATTTTAATTCCATATATTAATAAATAATTATACAAATTGGCCTTTTAATTTCAGGTATCCATATGATGTGGATAAAACTATGTCACTGATTAAATTTGTAGATCTTCAGGATAAACCAATTGGAATGATTAAGTAAGTGAAGAATTTTAATTAAAAATTAAATAAGTAGGACATTTTTAAAAAACAAATTCTTCAAAAATTATTATTTAATTAAAATCCATTTAAAATTTAATCATTTAGTTTACAGCTTAATGAGGAAGTGATTTACTAAGAATGAACTCTATTTTTATACATATAAAAATTATAAAATCTTGTAAAATTAAACATATTTACAGTTGGTTTGCTGTACATGCTACCAGTATGAATAATACCAATCGTCTAATTAGCGGAGATAATAAAGGTTACGCTTCATTAAGATTTGAACAAGTTATAAATGGTAAAGTCTTACCTGGAAAGGTAAGTGCGTTTTATTTAATTAAGTTTCTCACCTGTTAAATTGCAATTTTTAATTTAAATTCCTGTTCTTTTTAATTGTTTAGGGACCTTTCGTTGCAGCTTTCGCTCAAGCTAATGAAGGAGATTCATCACCAAATATTATTGGACCCAGATGTAGCTTGAGTGGGAAAGTTTGTGATTTTGAAACTAGTTCTTGTAGCAAAAAGGTAACTAGTTTATGAATAAAGAATATCAATAATTTAGGTATATAGCTGGACCTTATTGGTAATAACTTGCAAATCTTTTTGGGATTGCCTAGGTCTACATAATATCCTTCAGATCCCTCTTGGGGTTCACAATAGGGATGCTGGGTGATGATGTAAGGGGGATTGAGAACTAATAAAAGTATAGGTAATTGAAAGTTAGGGAAGAGCAAGCTAAACTTTTAATACCTTTTAATACTCTAGGTTCTTATGGTTTAATAATACATCACTCTTGATTATTGACAGGAGTGAAAGGTAGAAAATGTGATCTTATATGTTCATTACAGTCTGCTTGAATGGTTTGATTCACAATTGGACCTCCCCATTTAGTAAATAGGAGAATGGCTACCACATGTCAAACAATTATAAAATAGAAATTTTAAGCATTTGTAACCCCTTTCCATGTTGTTTAATATATTTGGAATTTTACATTACTTACAAATTAGTTAACTCAGTTAAATAAATACTCTCTATACATTAAATATTACTGTTTAATTAAATTAAAATCATTACTAAAATTTTATTTTTCAGGAAGGTATCTGCATCTCTACAGGTCCAGGTAAAGACATGTTTGAAAGTACAAAAATTATTGGGGAAAGACAGTATGAGAAAGCATTGGTAATTTAATATTTAAGTAATAAATTTTAAGATTATAATATCTTAATTAATAAGCCCATTAATTGTTTTTAGGAACTCTTCCTAACTGCTACGAATAAACTTACAGGCCCAATTCAATACGTTCATCAAAATATTGATATGAGTAATGTTGAAGTAACTGTTAATGATACTTACAATGTAGGTGAATTTTATGCATAATTTTTAATTTAATATTTGTAATTTATAAGAGAATGTGTCACATAAATTTAGGTTAAAACTTGTAAACCAGCTCTGGGGTACAGTTTTGCAGCAGGAACGACAGATTCTATAGGTGACTCGAATTTTCGCCAAGGTTAGTGCCACAAATTATTATTACAGGTATTTTAGCCCATTGATTTCTTTTATAACATAATAAAAAACGTTTCAGGAGCAAGATCATCTAGCATATATGGAAATGTAATCAGGGATCTCATCAAGAAACCAAGTGAAACTTTAAAAAACTGTCATATACCTAAACCCATACTGCTTGCTACTGGTGAAGTATGCTTTGTTTCGTAGCAATTCTATCACTGTTTTCTATCTTCCTGCTTTTAATTGATCAAAAAAATATTAAGTTTATTTTTGTATAAGTTAAATCAGAGAGGGGAGAGACATCCCACACATTCGATTCCCTTAAGCTAAATTATTAATTTTTACCTTGTTTTTTTTTTTTTTTAATGACTGATCCCATTTATAGTTATTTAATAGATATCTATTTATGAAAAAAAAAGAAATAAGAGGAAAGTTTGGCAAGAAATTAGGTCGAGTATTGTATTTTTATCGAGATAGCTTTCCAAAAATGAGTTACAATTTTAAACTTGAACTTCCTTCCTTTCCAACTTTTTAATTGAGATCAACGATTAAGTGATTCCTGTCAAACAAGGAAAAAGTTAAGTATAGGTTATCCCTTTTAGTTATACACAAAAAAAAATGTACTTGCTTGTCAATACTTTTTATAATTTATTAAACTTATACTTATATGTAGCTTAAGTAATGAGTTACACTAGCTTTTTATATGCGCAGATATAAAAGAGATTAGAGGAGAGGATTAGAGGAGGAAATATTTAATTAAATTTGGTTTTTTTAAAAGATTAAAATTTGAAATTACTGTTGAATGTTTGAAAAAAAAATTGGGTCATTATTCAAGTAACAATGTTCTGCATCAAAAAATCTTTTCTTTTCTCCTTTTAACAATGATATCTTTGTTGCAGAACATGAGTTTGAAAAGCTACTAGACTTCCTAGATGCATTGATAGACATAGTTCATATAACCTCATTATTCATAAATTCAAAATATTGAGTGTATATATATTTAAAATGTGTTTTATTCTAGTGAATAATCTTGAGGTGGTTAGCAAATCTGAAAAGTTTCTGTTAAATTTTATGTATTTTAATCCCATAATTTCTATAGTTAGTTAAATAGAAGAACTGGGTGAGTATCCTACACATAATTTGTCCTCAACAACACTTAAATTTGACATGATGTCATCTAGAGTGGTGTAGAGTTTGTTCTATTGGGAGTAGATAGCTGTAGGATACACATACTGTCTATCCTATTGCTAATTATCTTCTTTAATTAAATGAAGCTGAGGATTAGAGTGGTAAAAATGAAGGTCCTATTTAATGTAGAGAATTATATAGGACCTAATTAATTAATTTTTGTAGTTCTGATGATAAAATTTTCAGATGGCCTTCCCATACAAATGGCATCCGACCGTACTCCCAACACAAATTTTAAAAGTGGGGCAATTGGCAATTGTTGCAGTACCTGCCGAATTTACGTAAGTAAATCCTTTAATAAAAACAATTTTTCAATTTTAAAATAATTAATTACCTAAAACAGAAATGTAATTTGGTCAAAATAGTACAATGGCTGGGAGAAGACTTAGAGAAGCAGTGGAAGAAGTAAGAGAAATTAGTTTGAATGTTAACAAATATATTTTTAATTTTAAAAATTTAATTTAAATATTAATATTTAAACAATTTATTTAGGTTATCAATGAGACAGAAGAGGACAATAAAACAATAGCTGTTATTGCAGGTCTGAGTAATGCTTATTCGTCCTATGTAACTACGTACGAGGAGTATCAGGTTAGTTTAGTGGCATAAAAATAGTGTTCATGGAGTGAAAATATTATAAAATATACGCTTTAACATTTTTAAAACAGGTTCAGAGATACGAGGGAGCATCGACCCTGTATGGACCTTACACTTTAGATGCTTATATTCAGCAGTATAAAATGTTAGCTAACAATATGATGCTAAGAAATGATTTATCCGAAGGTCCAGAGACACCTAATCTTCTTAGCAAACAGTTCAGTTTCAATCGTAGAATGTTGTTCAACATTGCACCATTTGGCAAGAAATTTGGAGATGTTCTAGAAGACGTCAAAGAAAATTATACGGTGGTAAGTGGTGCAAAATTTGGCCATTGTTGGCAACAAGTATCATATATTGGTTAGAAGTTAAGTACGCTCCTCTCCATTCTCTGCATAAATTTAATTTTCACTTATGTTCCTTTTGTGTCTTTATCTTGAGAGGTGGCTTATTAAGATGACCTCTTTCTGTATACCCAGCAAGTGGTGAGGGATAAAAATTTTAACCTCTGTTTCCAGAATGGAGGTGATTTAAATTGTTTGAATTTTCTTAACTCTACCTTAGAACAGTAGAAGTTGTCTTTCACAGTGCCTATTATACCGAAGCCCTTTCTACCAGAAAAATTTAAAAGGAGACACAAGGTCATGCGGAGAGACTTTGTAGCCACTCATAAAGAATTTAATTAATTAATGCTAAATTTTTACAGGGTTCGACAGTGAAAGTCACCTTCGTTAGTGGTCACCCTATTAATAACATGAAGGTAATGTAAGATTATATATTTTAATAGTTTAATTTAGGATCCAATAATAATTGCGAATCATTCTTTTAGTTGGATGACACATTTTTGACTGTAGAAAAATGGAAAAATGATACTTCAGAATGGGAAGTAGTGGCCACTGATGCTAATTGGGAAACAAAGTATGTCTTTAATATTTATTTGTCTAATTCAAAACACAATATTGCATTTTATATTATCAATAATTACACTTTTAAGGATCATTTTGTAAAACAAAATTCTGAGAAATTTTACATTTAATCAGTGGATCTTGTTCTGAGGGACAATGAAGCTTACACTAACTGATACCATTCCATTTTTAATTTTTCCTTAAATGATTAGAATTCATCATCTGATCCCCTACCAATGTTTACGAATTAATTAATAATAATTTATTGCATCCTATTCAAATATACTAGTGGAACATCCTGAAGTGTGTTACCTAATGCAACATATGTTGAGAGATGAGAAAAAAGCAAATGGTTAAATTTTTAGCAAGTACAACTTAGCAGATTGAATTTAGCCTTCTTTAATTTAAAATTTATTATTATTATTAATTTAATGAGGTTTGTTTTGCCAAACCACGCCGCACAACACAGGAGTTTTTACTATATAACCATCCCTTTAAGTTTGAAAGAGGATGAGGTCCTCTTTGAATGTCATAATATCAAAATTTAAGTAGTATCAATCAGTAGGATTTATTAATATAAGCTGCATCTATCTTGAAACTGTTGGGCAAAGTTAGAGTACAGGAGAATGAGAGAGTGCAGATTATATATATGGTAAATGCATTCTAAACTCTTGGATTTGGGGGGTCATCTCCTGTAATTCTCTATTTAAATGCATTGTTTTAGCAAGAGAGTGCTTGCACTCATTAGTCATCCTCATTCCAGATCAGTAGATACATAAATGGTGCATAACTAGAACACACGTGCCATCAGATCTCCACTCAATACTTCAAATTGTAAGCATAGGATGAGATACTTGGAATAACATCCCTCCAGAGAATCAGTTTCCATCACAAATGGGGAGTGGCACGCTGGATTCTAACACGTGTACGTTGCGGGATATTCATCCCATGATTAATTATTAGCATAAATCTGTTACAGAATGCAAAATTTCATCCTAAATGAGCATTTTTTTCAACTGTTCCACTTTCAATTTCCGCTAGTGCGTTGTGTACAGGATGTAATAAATTAAAATTTATACGTGTATAACGATATCAAACGTTATTAATTAATGCTATTTTACATGGTAACCGGATGCCATTGACTTATATTATCTTAGAAAGATATTTCTCAGAATTAGTCCCCGTAGATTTAATGCTATAAACGGGAATTTCTTTATCGGGAAACGTGTTAGAATGGGTAATCGTAAAAGCGGGTTCTCCTAAGATCATTAACATAATTCATTCTCATTTTATTTTATTTTTATTTTAAAGGTTCTACTGGAAAAATTCGAATATATGGCTTGGAAGTTTAGGCAAAGCGGAAATATTATGGGACATACCGGAAGATACCGAACCAGGAAAATACAGGATACGCCATTTTGGAACTAGTAGAAATGTGTTACAAAGGATAAATTCCTTCGAGGGCATTTCTAGTCCGTTTTTGGTTATTAATGATTAAAAAAATGATAGTGGGAAAGGAGGAGAACGGGTTAGCAGTTAGTAGAAATGTCTTGTTAAAAAATATTTTAATTGATTTATCATTTTATGTGATTTAATATTGTATATAAATGGACGGTAAAATTGTATATAGCAAATTAATATTTATTATTCTGGAATCATTAAAGTTTTATTTAATGCATTCATTTGTTTTTTTTTCAAGTCTTAATAATATACATTTAAGCAGTCTTTTTTCGAAAGTTTATAAAGAGTTAAATATGAACACCAGTTATGTAGTTGAAGCAGTAAAGAGCCTCTGAGGGGGTCTAGATCCAGTCCAGGTGGAATGCGCTAGATATATGAGGCCCTATCCACCAGATAGTTTCATTGTAACTCTGGATGAGTACGTCTGTTGTAGGTAGTACGATACTGACAACACCCAAGCAACAACACACTGCAACTGTGCCAACTAGATTTAGTGTCTAGCATATAGAATGAGGATTAAATTTTTATTTTCTCTATATCCACGCATCACGTGGCGACACACGCAATTTCATTATCCCAATTGTAAAAAAACCAGCAACGTGTTGCTTAACTTTCCCGGCAACATTTAAAATTACTTGTGACGCTATGTGTTATAATTAAGGCTCGGATTTTTAAGACCTAAAATAATCCCAAAAAAACTGAAAAAAGACCTAAAAATTTTGGAAGATGAGCATTAACTGAGGATAATTCAGATTTCCTTTTATCTCGTACAGTGTTTTAATTATCAAGTTTTCATACATGGCATTGTTTTACTTCGTGATTGCACTGTATTACCATGCGCCCACGTAAATTTTTAAACTTGAAAGATCGACGGTTGTCTGCCAATAGAACTTTGTATTTGCTGAATGATCTTTCCACATCACACGTTGTCACGGGTGCGTACTTGAAGAAGCTGATGTCACTGCTTCATAGCTCGGGTTAAGACCTATAAAAGCCTTTCATTTATACTCAACATGTCTGTGAAGTAGAGAGTTCAGTCGGACTCAATGAACAATTGAAATGAAGAGAGTCAGGCCCGAAAACACCCGAGGCCCTAAGCCTTGTAGCTTAATTACAGCTTATAGATGAATCAGACCTTGTTCCCGGTAGGATTTTCTATGGGAAAGTGGTTCCTATTTAGACATTAAACACGTGAAGAAACCCCAGAAAACTTGGTCAGCACACTGTTCGGCTGCGAACCCGCGATCAAATACCAGTGCTCATTCATTCGGCCATTGATGGGCAGAATTTCAGAAAGAAACATTTTCTTGCATTTTCATAATTTTGTCATCTGAAGTATTTAAGGGGTAATAATTTAATTAATGGACAGGAGGGAAAACAACATAAACTTCATCTCAGCCATTTTTATTCTAAAAATACCGATTCTTGACCCCTGATACATCTACCTGGAATCTAATCCGGACAAATCAAAAAAATTTTAGGAATTTTTTGGATTGCCCCATTGTATGCCTGCAGAACCCATAATGGGCTTGCTAAAAAAAAGGCCTTATTAGTGCCCACGGGGCAAAAAAAAAGTTTAAAAAATCTCTAAATATTCGAATATTGCAAATATACAGAATTAATATGGAAGTTTAACCGTGAAATGGTACAAAGAAGAAACCAAAAGAATAACCTTCTATAAATCATGTTTAAATTTACGTAAGGTCTCATTTGTAATAAATTTTACATATAACCTCCACTGACAGCAACTTTCTAACAATGGCTACCACTAAACGGCGGCCATTTTCTTAGGCACTTTTCTGAATAGTAATGAATACAAAATAACCTTCAAATAACGGCCATATTTTTTTATATTCCCGTTAGTGGTCGTTGTTCAGAGGTTTGGTAGTAATTCTATAAAGAAAATTATATTTTGAGATTAAGAAATAATGTAAAATTATTCCGAAGGAACTCAATAATTAATTTACGATTTCTTTAGTGTATTAGAATGAATTTTAAAGAAGAAACTCGTAAGATTGCGGGTCAGACTTTCCTCCTTTAAACAGACTTTATATTTGTATAAAATGTTATAAATTAAATATTTGATATTTGTGTATAAACAGAATTTTCAATTGAAAGTTTATATTTATTTGTTTGTTTTTTCCCTAAATAGTTATCAGTTGATGTAAGCTGCAAGTGTTTCTGGGAAAACACATTCTGCTGTTTAAAGTCTGTGAAAAATATTATTATTTCTCAGAGTTTTGTTTTCCAATAATCCATTTTGTAAGCATAAACGGGAGATAAAACTGCTATTATTGATGATAAAAATACAATATGGCAAGTTGGATTAGATAATTGTTATACAATATAATACGTATTGAACTGGAAAAAGTTTTCACATATTTATAATTGAAGGATAGTTTTTAATCGCCTACCTTTTAGCAAGGTCTATCAGGACACCGATGTTTCCTATTGAGCCGCCATATTGGATCTTCAGTTCCAAGGTCGCGGTATAGATTTCATGCTATGTATGTGCAATGCACATACATAGCATGAAATCTATACAGTTCCTTCGAGTTCGAGCCGCGAAATTCCTTTTATAATTTCTAGGCTTTAACTAAATAGGTTTCAAAATAAAAAGCTATGACAATGGTTCGTATGATACAGTACGAAGATAAATTTATTTAGTTTTGAAATGCAAACTTAGAGAAGAAATTTGGAGATACTGTACTTGTTAAAATAAAAATATATTTAATTTTTTATATTCACATGCCTTTTTGCATTACACAAATTGCAAATAGGAGCTCAGAGCAAACATTTTTATAAATTAAAATTAGATGAAGAGAAAAGAAAACCATTCTCACAAACTTTATATATTATGTAAAGTAAACCTTCAAAGTGTTTGCAAGAGATAATAAGAAAGTTATTAAATGAAAAAAGTTATGCATATAAATTAAATTAAATTATTTTTATAGAAAATTAAACAAGTATATTTGTAAAAAATATGCAATTTGTACTATGTTACATTACTCTCAATTGTTATAAAATATTAATTTCAATGACTGTATTTTATTTTAAAGTATTTTTTCAGTCTACAAACATATTATAACATTTATTCTGTTTAATAATTTACATAATGTTGATATAAAACCTGTCAGAAAATTAAAACTTTACCACAAATTGTCTATAGACTATTACTAATCTGAGAACCATGTTTTGATGTAATTTAAACAGGATTAATTAAAACATACTTTAATAATGGATACTGGAAACATTTTAAAATAAGTGTTAAATATTAAAGCAATTTATATAAGTTTATATACTGGATTTTTTGTTTTCAACTAACAACATAAAATGAAACATGTTCACACTAAAAGACAGTATATGCAGCAAATAGCATTATTTGTATCAAAATAGGAAGTTATAATAGCAATAATAATTATAAAATATGCAATAAATTTCTGTTGAATTTTTCTTATGTATTCAAGCAATTTTGTATGACTGTTGTTCCTAATAAAAAGAAAACATCAACTACAAGTGGAAAATAATTTTCTGTAGTCTTTTAAGCAAGTAATCATTATTTATAAAAACATTTATTATTATATTTTAGAAATCTTACAGAGCAAAAATCTTCACAATAATTTAATTAATATATGTTTTTGAAAGTAATTGGTTGGTGAATATTTCTTATGATAATATTATGTTGTTCCTGTGATAAATATATTTTTTAAATCTGAAAAAACAATGTTTAATGTCCTAAAAACATTTGTTAAGAAAGCTTTAAAAATGTAAAATCATGTTTTTTCTTAATGTACTAATATGGAATAAGGGTCAAATTTACCTTAGGTAGCCAAAATGGCGGCGGTTAGGTTCGTTTCGTTTCCGTTAGATTAGGTACATTTTTAGTAGACGTTTCCTTTTTTTTTTTATTTTGTTCAAGAACTACCGTGAATCAATAACTAGTGATGTTTGGCACTCTCCCTTCTGGGAAGAGTCCGTTGGGCCCATGAACAGTCAGAAGTGCTGCCATTGGGGTTACCTAGGTACACATTAACCAACTTTTGTTTAATTATAAGACTGGGTTTGGATGGGCACTCTGTTGCACCACTGAATGCTACCACTCATTCACATGTACTAATGATTCAAATGCACCAATAAGTAGCACTTCTCACCACAGTTTTAGATGAAAAAATTTATCAACTGTATTTGTATTTACATTTTATATTTCATAATAATATATATGAGGATTTTTAAAATAATCTTTTCAGCTATCTTGGTGTGATATTAATAAAGAATTTATAAATTTTGTTATACAAATTATTCATATTTTAAATACCATGAANTATTTAAGTGATCGTAAAACACGAATTCATATAAAACGGAACGTATCTATTGTATTACAAGGAGGTCTACTATATATATTGAAAGTCATACAAGTGACTCTCAAATTTACGAATTTTATATAGTGTTAAAAATTATTTCTTTAACTAAATATAGGTATTGTGGTATTTGATCTTACCAACTAAAGATATAACAGCCATCTCACTACCAGGAATATGTGTTTTTCCAGGTTTAAGACTAAATTTGATTTTTTGTAGCTGCTTCGATGCATCTGTAATATCTAATTTATATAATTAATTAATTTATTAGTTAATAAAAATTTTTATTTATTAAAAATAATTCAGCATTAAATATTTAAAAAAATACATCTTTACCAAAGCATAAACTGAGGTTACTTTTTACAATAAATTATACAAAAGTAATAATTATATCTTCGATGAAATCGTTATAAAAAGACTACAATGCTTATAATTTATGACAATGTTCCTACGTGTACATTACATATACATATTTTGGTGTAAATAATTTGTTACTAAGACTTAACAATAATAAATTATATAAATGTATAGCATAACTTCATTGCTCACATCTACCAGCTCAATGTTTAACTATTTGTAAAGACATTAATTAAGTTTTCGCTTAATACATGACAGTAATTTCTATTCTACTGAATATTTTCTTGCTCTTTGTTAGGAGGATCTAATGTCAGTTCATGCCTTTATAGAAAATAATAATAAAAAATATTACAAGATTAAGCGCGAATGTAATAAAATCTTGATAAAGAATAATATATAAATCAAAACAGATTTTTAAAAGTTCAATATAATAATTTAAACTTTATTCAAACCTATAATAAAACAAACCATTTGGAAGCTCGCGTTATGTACAACATATCTTACAGAATTTTTGTTTTTAATTAATGCAGAATCCATGCTTTGGTATGTATAATTTCACAGTTTTTCTCCTGATAGATTGCTGATGTTGTAGTATGAATGATCAGGAAATCTGTCGAGTTCTATGTAATCATTTTCACTAATTAATAACTTATCTAACCAAAGTACTAATTCGTTAAAGGTGGGCCTCTCTGCTGGATCCTTGTCCCAACAGTAGAACATGATATTGTACATTTCCCTTTTGCAGTGTTCTGGTTTTTCTAATCTGTAACCGTCTCTCACTCTTCTCATTACTTCTGCAGCTGCTAGTCCCGGGTACGGTGTTGAACCTGGAAAATTAATGATGTCAAATAATAGTTTCGTGTGTAGTAACAAAGACTCGTCATTCACTTCTATGTACGAATGCAATATAACACTTAAAAAAAGACAATGGATATTTTAAGAGGTCTTTGTTAGGTTGGTACGCTATAGAACTCGTTTAGGAATAGGAAGCAGTTAATTCCTATTCCTAAGCATTTTGGAGGTTAGTCTGTAGACTAACCTCCAAAATGTAATAACATCAATGCCCCGTATTCCTACCAAATTTAAAAATTTTTGGTCTTTGCGGTCCTGAGATATAAAGCAAAATACATGCCAACACACACACACATGCAGAGAATTTTGTTCCCTGTTTTTGAATGCTTTTGGAATTGGGAACCTCAAAATCTAGGATCATGTCATTAGTTTGTTTATCCGGTTGTATTAAAGCCTGTGTTAACAGGAAACAATGCCCTGTGTCTGCCAAAGAGCCTTAAAAAATGTAGAAGAATGTATAATTTCTTCTAATTTTATATCATTTGCGAATAACAATAGATTAAATATTTAAAACACTTACCTAAAGTCACAATTTCCCACATTAATATACCGAAAGACCACACGTCTGTTTTACTAGTGAATATATTATCGAAGAGAGATTCAGGTGCCATCCATCTAATGGGTAATCTTCCCTATAAATTAATAAATTATATGGAAAATATCATCCAAAATAAAGTTTAAAGTAAGGAAAATTGTGTAAAATATACCTCTGATTTTCTCTCGTAAACATGCGTTACTATCACGTCACGAGCGAAACCAAAATCTGCAACTTTGCAAATTTTATTATCATCTACAAGTATATTCCTCGCAGCCAAATCACGATGAATAATCTACAAAAGAATATGGAATAATTATTTATTTAACAATTAAATAATCAAACAAGTGACAATTTGAAATATATTTACCCCCTTGGATGCTAAATATTCCATTCCTTTAGCCACTTGATAGGCAAACAGGGTCAAATCGCGCGACGTCAAATGCTTGCTACTCCCGTGAAGGTTACCATAAAATCTTTCTGCTCTACTTTCTCTTAAATACGATTGGAGTTTACCGTGATTTACATACTCCATTATGACAAAAATTGGATCTGTAAACGATTTTAATTAACTTTCTTCAATATCAGTTAATTAGTTTCAAGTTACTTTACTAACTTCTCTCTGTACAGCATCCAAGAAGGGTTACCACATTGGGGTGAGGATTTAACAACTTCATAACTTCTAATTCGCTTAATAAATCCTTCCTCTCCTTTTCCGTGGCATTTTCTGCAAGGAAGAAAGTTGAAATCAACAATTTCTAATTGTGGCAATTCAAAATTTTCTGTTCCAGACTTACCCTTTAAAGTCTTCACTGCTACTAAACTAGTTCCATCTTTGTTGTATATGTTTAAAGCTTCACACTTCCACACCTGTCCAAAGCATCCCTCACCTAAAATGCCAATGAACCTTAGATGATGCCTTGGAAATTCCCATTTTCTATTCTCTGTTAAGGGCTGGATATAAAGGTATACATTATCTTTTTTGTTTTATTATTATCAGGAATTATAATAGTTGAAAATCTTGTTTTACCCCATAAAATTCTCCAGATTCGTATCTGTTTGATTGAGCCCTTTTTGGTCTTTGCAAATACAACGAACAGGGATGACGATTTATTTTCAGTTCGTCTGAATCATCGTTATCTCTTCTTTCGGGTATTTTTTCATCCTTTGCAAAAAAATTATACAATAAAGCAGTTAAATTATGTCAAAAAAACAAGCTTGTCTACTCCGCCATTTTGATTTATGAAATCTATTCTGTCATTGATATCAGTAACCTCAATCTGTACAGATTCTGGATGCTGATATCTATGACAGGAGCATGCAAGATTTATATTTAAGTGCCTTAAATGTATTAAAAAAAAACTAATTACGTTGTTAATTGCATTACATCTTAATATATTACTACTGTCAATAGACATTCAACATGAATTTATCAAAAGCGCAGAGTTCTACACTTTCATTTCGCTCAAAATCCATAAGTTCTGTATAGAATTCTCATTTTTTTTACACAGGATTCGCATCCTTCCTGCACATAATTCTCATTACGCCGTGCATTCTTCCAAAAATGAAAAGAACCATTTCTTAGTTAATTTCAGGAAAATGTCCAACGAAACTCTTTCTAATTGGTACTTTGCAAAGTGCCGAGAGGACGTAAACAATACGAAAATTGAATTGTTGTTTTTTTACTTACGGGCTTTAACTTTTCATCCTTCTTGCACTTCTTCTGGAACAACCAAATGACAAAGCCCAAAATGGGTGCAAAACCCAAAATGGACAAGAATGGCAATACAGTGGATGTCATATCGAATCCTCTTTTGTTGTTGGTTTCGGTGGTTGGGGCAGGAGTATCGCTCGCGTTGTTGGTATCTGGCGTTGAGGGACGTGTGGACTGCGTGGTGGTGGCAGATATCTTCGAGGTGGTCTTGGTAGTAGCGCGGGGGGAGGTGGTGGTGTTAAGTGAGGTGGAAACGACGGCAGGAAGTGAACCCTCTGTCGTCGGAAAGGAATGGGATCCTTTTGATTTCCCCTTCCCACCCCCAGTGGGGGCACGATTAATAGTGATGAAAGGCACATCGATGGTAGGCACTAGAGGAGGTCGACTGTTTGCTTCCAAAATTCGAACGTACACTTCTATCTTGGCCTAAAATCGATAACAACACACGTTAAAAACCATGAAATTATTTTAATAATCCTAAAATAATTAATATAAACACTAAACTAGTGTGTTTGAGATTACGGGAGGATCTCAAATTTATACTGTAATCACTTACAATTGAGACTTTGTGGATTATTATTGCATATTATTACAAATTTCCATAATCTGCAATCTCATTTTATTAAGCAACTGCAATGCAATTTTATATATATATTTTTTCAGTTTAAACTGCATGGAACCACCCAAATTTTACCATAGAACAATTGAAATTTTAATAATGAAATTATGAAAACTTACCGTTTGATGCCCATCATTAGCAGATACGAATAGATAGCAATCGTTTCCAGCCTGAAATAAGAAAAAAAATTGTACATATTTTATTGACCCTTGACCTTTCGATAGAGAAAATTTTGTAAATATATTAAAAAATAGTTAAGAAGTGGAGACAAATTCTTTGGAAAATCTATAGCTGTATAAAAAAATGACGATAACGTAAGGGCTTCGAGGCACATCCGGCTTCTTACCGACGACCCCGGAGATACTTGGGAGGGGATGTTAAGCACGTGTCCGAGATGGACAGCCCCACCCCGGATCTACTCACCTGTAAGATATTAAGCAAGGCGCATGCAAACGTTGCTCTTCTATACAGGTATATATATATATACACAATATATGTGTACTGCATGTCATGGAAATTTTACCTTAACACTTTCATGGCCTTATGCAAATTGCATTTGTCAAGTGTGTTGTCTGTCGACACCAAAACTATTTTAAACACGCAAACTTGATAGAGAATGCACACACAAATAATTTGCATTAATAGTACTTTGTCGATGAAAATTATGTTTTGTGTGCATAGCTAACCGTGCATTAAATATGTTACAAAGTGCATAATTATGACAGCTTTTGATTCATACATAAAACATATTGTTTAACTACATGATTTTTATTGTATAAATGCATGCTTGTTGCCTTTTATTAGAGCATAATTATTATATTAAATGCACAATTATTGCCCTCATAGATGCATAGCTATCTTCTGTTTGGATTTATAATTATCGCCATCTTTTAAGCATAATTATAATCATTTCAATACACAATCAATGTACCTTTAAAGCATAATTATCACTTGTTATTGCTTTTTATAGTACTTGATATTTACTTTTTGATGCTGCATAGTTTACATATTCGAATATATAATTAATAATTAATGCGATTAACATGAATAGTCGGAAATTGGATTGCGTGCATAATTACCGCATTTTTCCAGCAATTTTCTTCACAATGGCATCAAAATTGCATACCCTGAATGAAGAAAATATAATTTGTGAATCATCACGACGATATTATTCAAAGTAAACGATTCAAAATTAGTAATTACATAAGCGAAAGGAGGAAAATTTATAATTATTTATAGCATAAAAATCATATAAAATTGCATTATTAAAGACTCGTGCAAGTTAAAAATTATGGCTTCACTTATTTATCGTTTCTTGAACCGGTTCCGAAGATTTTGGAGGGATGTCTTTATAGCTACAGATGCACTACATATTACTTCTTAAGCCATAAAATACCTAATGATATATTGGTCCTCCTTGCAAGCGCGTGCTACTTCGTTATTTTTGTCTTCCTATCTATTATAGCTTGCATACAGTTTATAACGTGCCCTGATGGCATCCAATTCCTTGCAACGTTACCTCGTTCGTAATGCAACTAAAAGAACTAATAATATGCGCAATCTACGTATCTAAATATGCGCTGTATTTGTATTAGATGCAGAACCGCCATTTTGTAATTTTTCCGAGACGTTAGTTATGTTAGGAGTGCATTATTTACGTGGTGGAGGTAGCAACACCTCGGGGCATTCGGCGCACGCCGGGCATCACTCGAAGCACGTTCTTACAAACAATAGAGCGTCTACCAGATACGCCGGAGTTACAATTACCATAGTTCCGGGTTGTTGTGACGTGACTAGCATCTGGACACGAGCCAAGGTGGCCATCTCTTCTAAAACCACGTTCTGCCTGGCCCATGAAAGAGACCAGTTCCTGCTGTCACAGCACTAAATGATTAAATCCGAGCGCTAGACTGAAATTACCAGATTTATGACCCCTCACCGTGCGTGGCTTACAAGTAGATTATTAGATCGCGTGCCCACTTTACTTCTTATATCAATCATAAATTTTAAAAAATAAGAATTAAAGTCTCCATTTCGAGTCGTCCTTTCTTCGTGTTACGGTTGGTATGCGCTTCGTTTATAAACTTTATATCGACACATCACTTTAAACACTGCATATTTATACAATGTTTTTTATAATTTTAAACTAATTTAAGTATGCATATTTAACTTTTATATCTCTAGTCTCTTATATACTAATTTAGTTTTTAATCCCCTTTAAAATGGCGCCTAAATAGTTTAATAAATGTAACAGAAGTTTGTATTGGCCTTACTGTTTTCCAGCAATCTTTTAAGTTGTTAAAGCGAGGATTGGATAAACTATTAAATGCAAATGCGGATCCAAAGGGTCCACGTTGTCCTATGGATCCTTTGAATGGATCGGTAGGATTCACACGAAGGAATCTATGTAAATTATACTCCTATCCATTTTTGTAAACGTGAATCTGAACGTATCTATATCCACATACTTTAATGTAAGCTTACATCATCTACATTAACATCAACAAAGAATGAAACGAATATTTATATAAAACCAAGTCTACAGACAACCAGACGTATAAAAAAAAAACTGAAATAAATCTAATTTTATTTCTTTATTTACATAAGTTATTCCCCACCAAAAATAAACATGAACGTTTGATAAAGTTAAAAGCAATTTTACTCGATTGCCATCTCTATTTTTAAAATTTTTTTTTATTATTCATTTATTCATTGAACGTAATTTATATGATTGCACGTGCAGATAAGTTAACGTAAGTCGTGTTTCTATAGAAAAAAAAGAATACAGTATAAATTATAGGACTATTACTTTAAGAAATAATATTAATTAGGGTATTTAATTCTTCATTCTGAAAAAAGAGCAGAAAGATATAAATATATACGTTAAACTAACGACAGACAGGCAGACTCACCCACGTTGATTCAGTCACGCAATAGACAGGTATAAAAGTATGTGTTGAACGTTAATGTTTTCGTTAACTATTGCTTAAATTTAAGAGGTTAAAATTCATTTAAATTCTAGGGGACCGAACCCGTGTCCTTATGCAGAATTTAACAAATTTAGACAGCAAATATTGCAAGAAATCCGCGTAGAAAGTACTTATCTTCAGTATTATAACGAACCCCCTTACACTATAAATGCCTTTTTAAGGCAGTTTAAACGATATAATTAAGTTCTTTATTATATAACTTATGCAATAATTATGTAAGGTATGCCTATCAAAAAATAAAAGATCCTGTCTGTATGTCTGAATGTTAACTCTCATCTGCAATTATAATACTACTTTATAATCTAAATAACTAACTAGTAGAAAGAAAAAACATTTGAAACTAATAGAATTTATAGAAAATAATGCGGTTTGTACGCTTGAGAGCAGAACCCACGCCCTTAAAGTGTAATTATATAACGTATAATTATAATGCAAGTTGTGCCTTTATTTGCGTAAAATAACGTAATATTTAATTATGATTTAAAAATTAAATTGATAAAACACAATTAACAATTTTCCTCCTGAAATTCTTTTGACCATGCAGAAGATCACTTTTAAATCTAACGATTCTTCGGTCTGAACGTTTAATTTATTTAAAATTTAAATATTTATAGATTATAAATTGTTATATATTGACATTAAACTAGAAGGAGGGATGAAAATAGAAGAAATTTTACTTTCATTGATTCTTAGATTTTGATCAGATAACGTTACAACACTTTGAAAGACGTTCAGGAGTTATTACAAGAGAGTTATTTCGACCCCATTACACGTATCATCAAAGCAAAAACTTAAAAAAAAGAAAATTACCTTTCAAAGTTATCAATACGATCGACAAGTTCGACCTTCAAAAAATTCCAAAAAGTCTGGAGACAAACCACGCCTCGTCCGGGTTGCAAAGTGTCATCCTCAAGGGCGTACGACGGGTTGACAGATCATTAAGAGGCATCCAGTAGGAGAACAGCTATCAACCCACAAATTTCACTTGTATTTCAAACTTCACCCTTCATGCTTTAGGCTAAGAAAAAGGTAATTAAAGCAACCTTGGAGGCCTTGGGGTTGTCTTGACTGCACGTGTGGACCCCAAACGACCCCGCTACCGACTGTACCCAGAGGTGACGGACTCTCTCTTCAAAATGATAAATATAGGAGGCACCTAGTTGTAGCCTCATAAGACCGTGATAGCGTTATGAGTCATGAGACGAATGGACCACCTGCTCCATCTTTTCCGATATTTGTAGAAGGTACTCGTGCTGTTGGAGTGTGTCGCGCCACGTGTTGCTCCCGGCATTTCTTTTTTTAAAGAAGTAAACCCAAAAAATTCGAATTTTGGCAACTTTTAAAGCTAAAAACATAATAATTTATACGAAATTTCCAGCGAAAAATCTTTATTTTTATTGTTTTCTTGCCTAAAATACAACACCTGTCCCGGTTGTAAGACAGGTGTTATTGCCTCAAACAAAGAAGTAATTATGTTACTGAAAAAGTTAACTAACAGCTATGATTGGTTTTTGTGAAAATCCCTTTAAGCACTTTCACTTTTATCTTAGCAGCTTTCAATTTCTGAACTTGATTTTTTGGAAGTTTAACACTTCGTCCTTGTACGATCATCAAGTAGTTTTTTTTTTTTCATTCTTTCGGGGCTTACACTCCGCCGAGAAAATTGCTTTTTCCAAGAAAATTACATGCCCTGAAGTTATATTTAATGCAGTTTTTTTGCAAATAAAAAATATTTTTCAAACTAGCAGAATTTTATTTTTAAATTGTAAAAATTCACTCAAGTACCTTAGCTTTAAAGAACGGATTTTGTAGTNTTTTCAGATTTCTACTCACCAAAATGACGTTCATTCCTCTTTCGGCTAATTCCTTGGCGTAGGATTTTCCTATTCCGTCCGTAGAACCGGTGACGACTGCCCACTTTCCGAACTTCTTAAAGTCGGTTGATATGAATCTGGAGAGAAAAAATAACTTGGCTCCAACGACGAGGATGTTTAACAGGTAAACTAAAACTAGAAAAACAAAAATAAGTCCAATACTTGAGAGGAAATAAACTTCAACAGATTGACATTGGAACATGGTCGACTGAATGTCTGTGTGGTTTCTGTTGTATCAAAAGCAATTTCGTTGTCTTTATTAGGCGTGATGTCGAGTAAATTATAAATTCAACGTATGAAGTACTTAAGATTATACATCCCGTCCAATAGTAAAGAAACGCGTGTTGTAAGGCATTACGTCTTCCAACACGTGTTTCTTTACTATTTTGTTATTTATGGAGAATTATAATCGACCTTGAATATGAAAAATGATGAAAACGATAATTTATTGTAGGTATTTTCCTTAAAAGTTATCTACGTTTTGAAAGATTTTTCATTTTGTAAAACTTAAAATTGAAAGAGATAATTCAAACATTTTCACTTTGAAACAGTGTAAACTTTTAACTGTAATGATTGTTTTTACATTGTACGAATACACTTACACTAACTATTAAAAGAAAAATAATATAAAGAATATAATATGTTTATGTTTTACCTTCGATGAGCGTTCAACCCTCTCGAAAGGTTATTTAGAAAGAAAATCAGAAAGGGGCAGGCCAATAATTGAATACTTAGACAATATAAGAATTGGAAGACCTTATATACTGCTCAATAAATGGCAAAAAGAATTGCCGAGAGAAATCACAATGTCCACCAGAGGCGAAGTGCCTATGAGGATTTTCAAGCTTAGCCTACTCTTCTTAAATTACTCCTATTCAACGATGTTTAAAAAGATATTTATTAGTCTAAATGCAACAGGATTTAATATAGTTATATTTTGGGACAGGCGGGAGACATATCCGCATGTCCAAATTAGTACCATACATACCTAGGGCGTTTTTGGCGCGCTAGCAACGATCTTTTTATTTGTAAATGGCATTCGTGCTATATTATACCACATGAGTAATGTACAAATTTGATATTCCTTGTTTAATATATCAGTATTTCAAATACAGCATATTGTATTAATATTATTATATGATACGGAAGATAAGAAATATACATCATATTACATGTTCAGAATATGAATAATATCTTCGAAATTTCTTTACTCATAAATGAAATTTTTGTGAAATACGTACCTACAAAACACGTTTAAAAAACAAATGAATAGGTCATCGGGTAATAACTTCAAACAAAATTGAAAAGAATGTCCTAAATTTCCAGTTGTATAATTCGATATTCCTAAAGTATTGATGGCACTCTTGGCGTAAGAATCTGCATCCGGTGCGAAGAACGAAATCCACTTCCATATATTATGACTAAAATCAACGAGATTAGTAGTTACAGTAAATGGAATGAGAGTTTGGAAGACAATACCTGGATGTCTTTCTTCANTCTTCTTAGTAAAAAAAAACAATATAAAAATTTGATTTTTCATACAAAAATATAAAAATTCAAAGAACTTTTTGCCTTTTTTTAGAATTGCATTACAATTTTTTTTAATATACAGTACTTTTTAAATAGGGGTTTCGATACAAATCCTGAAGGATTAACTCTTATACCATTTTATACACTCATAAGTTCAATATTTCAATTATTATAATTAAAACTGACGTAAAATTATGTTGGCTTACAATACACAAATTTACACAAGGGCGTATGTTCGAAATAAATCATAAATATGCATATAACTTGTAAAGAATGGGAAGGATTAACACAAGAAAACGTCTCTCATTAGCCTCTTTATACTCTCAAACGACCGTTTAACCTTTTAATAATAATAATAATATTAAAAAAAATCCTTTTTATGTGGGGGTGGGGAATAGAACGTTCTAACGGTATGAATACAAAACACGTGGGAAGAACAACCGGTTTTTTTACAACTGCAGCAGGAAGTAATCTCAAAAAATGAGGGTCGAAGCGTGGTTCACATAGAGACATGTCAAAGAGCGCGGTGTCGTAATTGCAACGTTGATATTCCCGTGTTTAAGAAAACAGGTGATATCGCATTAAAAACATACAAACTACTCACCTGACCAGCTAGGGAAGCTTGTAGGTAAACGTCACCCGTCTTTTTATCGATCCTAAAATAATTGGAACCATCCAGGAACAATGCTGGTTCTATACTGTATTCGATAGGATCGTTGTCGTCGTCGTTGGTCCTAACCGTTATAATTCTGCTACCTAAAATACAATATTTTATTAATTATTTTGAGGTAATTTGCATACCGCATCCCCTTTATTACATATTATAATGGGTTCGTTCTGAGAAAGGGGTGGCTACATGTGTTGCGAGATCGTTTAGAGAATTCGCAGAAAAAGAACAAGATATGCAAAATAAATGCGCTAAATTAGAAAAGAAATTGTTTTGCCGAGTCGAGGAAGTGTTAAAGGGCATTATCGGGTCGAAAGTCATTTTGTAGTGTGAAGAATATTAAAAAGGTTTCATAAAACTTTCATGTTTAAGATTCGACTTTGCATCTGATTGTCTTATCAAATAATTCATTTTCTTTTTATTATATTAAATGAATATTCTTAAAAGAATTTTTATTGGTTTTTAATACTTTATTTTATTGTCGACATTATTATTCTCCTTATTTATTACTCTTCTTTTTCAGTTTATGAATATATTTACTTCACTTTCTTTGTTGCTTTTTAAATAATTTGTTTAACATTTTTTTTTCTTTATTTTCCTTTGTTTGTCACTTTCATATCGTTGTGTTTTTTTTCTTTTTTGCAATTTTTGTACTGCTTTTTATTTTGTGTTTTCGGAGTTTTGCATTTTTTTAAATCCCAGTCTTGCGCTTTTTTGTTTATATCCATGTCTATTTCTGATTTTTACCTCTCTTTTCCCAACTTTTGCGTGTTTTATCGTGTTTATTTTCTACTTTCTGTGTTTTTTTCATGTTTATTTCCTAATTTGCACATGTATTTCTGAATTTTTCCTTTTTATTTCTCAACTTTTGTGTGTTTTATTTTTGGTGTCTGTATCTGATTTTTTTGTCTATTTATTTGCATCTTTAAACAGTTAACTTTACTCGAATTTTTAAATTGTTCTCTTGGCTGAAAAATTCAAAAAGTTAATTAAAAGTATTTAAATTTGTTATTATCTAGTCACAAATAATATAAAACAATACAAAAAAAGAACACAATAATAAATTTATAACAACCAGAATCAATGTAAAGACAAGCTTGTTAAGTAGCTAAATAACTATCATCAAAAAAAGAATTGATTTTCATCATAGAAGAACAGCATAAAATTAATATAACAACGGGAGCAGTGACGTCCAGAATTCCTTTCCCATTGTACAATAATGGAGAACGAGGAAGTGAACATATATATATATATAAAAGCAAGTTTGTGACGTGTGGCCTCACGAAGGCCAATGACCTTTTCTTATGGAAATCCAAATCCTCCCTTTCTTGTCTATCCCCCTTCCTTGTAAGCTTACTATTTAAACTCGTTTCCCAATACCCGAAAATTCTGTTACCATTTCTCTTATGATCGATATATGACAATCCTGACTGGGGTCATGCGCGGGGGTCAGAATACAAACAATAGAAATGCCACATGATTTGACCTATTTGTCTACTCGTAAACGTGGAATATAAGAAGTTTGTTTGTACACAGGTCGACGGGGTCTAGATCGTGAGAAATGTACACGAGTTAAAGCGGTTAACTTTTAACAATTAACTTAAAAACGTTTATAAGATACCAAAGAACTGGTCAACGACACACATCCTTGAACTTAATTGCTAATCCACTAATTCTGTACACGTAAAAGTCCTTAAAAAATGATACAGAACAGTCGATAATGATCAATTTTAAATAGACAATGTCTTTTTTTTTCTCCTTTTAAATATACAAAATTGTATTTTTAGACTAATAATTATGTAAAAAAGAATGTTTGCGCACGTTCTGCTTTGTTATTCAATTTAAACCATTGAAAATGATGAAAATTCGCTCGAGATTCTTAATTATAATTAAAAATCAATTGCAATTAAAGTAAATTAATTGCATTCTATTTCATTACGTTGTTTTAATTTCAATTACTTACTGTAGTTAAATTGAAATTAACATCGTTACTTGATTGTAATTAACTTTCTAACAGTTAATTGCCATTAATTAATTTTAGGAAGTTGATGAAATTATAAAATTTACTAATTTTTAATGTACTTTATAAGTTTAAATTACAATTAATAGCTATTTAATTTCATTTAAATTTAAGAAGTTACGATGAAGTTAATTAATTAAAAATAGTTGAAATTTTTCATTTACTAAGTACAATTAAGTTAATTACATTTGTTTTTATGGTAGTAAATTACAATTAACTTTATTAAATGTATTCCGTTCATGTTAATTATCTTAATTCCAATTTTTTGAAGAGGCGGAGGTTCGAGTTCCTCGAGCGACCACCCATCCTTGATGACTATTTTGGCTACTAGCTACTACAAGAGGGTATTTTAAGGGTCCTAAGACATAAACTAATTAGATTTCTGTCGAAAAAAAATGTTCATCTAGCCTCCAGCTGTGTTCAAGAAATATCCCACTTCAAATTATTAGAATTGGACGATGGAATAAAATTTCTAGAGTGAAATCTTTGATCCAAGTCACACGAGTTCGTACGTAACCTCAAATTGAACCTCCCACAATACACTTATCAAGTTAAATGGAGCAAACAGACAAACAGGAGGACAAACAGATCCGGGACCTCGCCTAACTCTGACCCAATTACCGAATTTCTGAGAATGAAACACAGATAAGTTTGAGGGTTCTCGATGGTAAACACAAGTAGTAAATCGTAAAACGTGATACCTCTTATACACTATTTGAAAATATTTGCAACGAAGAAGACTTTTTGGAGCGTTTAAACAGTGTTATTTGAGTTAAAACGTTGTCTCAACCGCCCCGGGTATATCTATCTTCATTTTCATGGAAGGGTGTTGTTTGTAATTCACCAAATAACCGTTCCCGAACTAGAGTCAACAATTTAGCACTTGTAGTATGTCAGGCTTAACCATTATCCACCCTCAACCCCCGGTTTTTTTCATGTCAATTCAAGGTTGACCTGTTTCTCATATTTTTAAACAATAGAACACACACACACACAGATAAAGTTTCTGTGGGTAGAGAAAAATAGAGACGAAATTACCAAATAAAATTGTGAGTAGATGGAGGCGGATAATAGTAAACATTACTAGGAGAAAGGATTATCCTTTTTATAAGATGTGTTCAGTGTCAATAAACCTGTTAGGAACGAGAAGCGAAGATCCGGTAGCATTCCACCAAGTTTTTTTTTTGAAGTTTTAATGTCCCTGCCTAATGTCTGAGCTCCTTTTTTCGTCATCTGCTCCTTTCCAGTTAATAGAATCGTTCATAAAAAAAGTGTTGATTCTTTAGAAGGTCATTGCCCATTTACGTGTTTACATTAAGGATTATCAGGATGGCCTTAAACCATATTTCTTTTTAATATATTACATTATAATCTTTGAAGATCATCTACGATGATTTTTTTAAAAAGTTCTTCGAAGCTCATCATCATTGTAAATGATCTTCATTTTATTTGATCTACTGCATCAGTATGTAAAAAAATACATGAACTAATATTTAGGTATTGCTCTATAATGTATGCATTATTTGTCGTGTAGGCATACATGTACAGTCGTTTCTAATGAGGGTAAAACTCAAGCATGTTAACACACTTGATGTCATGCACACACATACACATTATAAGTAGATCCCGTCAGCTGGTGTGTTTTGTATGTAGACTATTGGTTCACTCTGTAGAAATATACATATTATCATTTACTATATTAGGGTCCACAGCTTAATAAGGCATTATTTCCCTTTAGGGACACCAATATGCAAATTTAATAAGATAAATTAACATTTTGGAGTTCGTTATGCTTTATAAAGAATCGTAGATTATCAGTTATGCCTCAGTGATTTTGACCTTATACTTGCGTGCTGTGATATATGTTCGAAAAACAGCTTATATCTTAAATAAATCTATGCAAATTGGAGTTAATTTATGCACAAAATAAATGAAATTTATAAAATAAACTTGAATTTTTTAAAAAACTGGTATTTTCCTGAAGGACTTCAACAGGTCCTTCAGGAATCAATGAAAATGATGACAGAATTCGGTCCTATTTCAACAAGATATTATTATAAAATTAAAGCAATTTTACTTACCTACTGGTTCGTTTTCTGGTATTAACCATTTCCTATTAAAATCAAAAACCGGTGGAGTATTATGAGTTGGATAACAGCAACCTGGAAGTAAAACAAAAGAAAAAAAGTGGGTTTTGTAAAATCTTAAAAGAGTCGAGCCGACAAGGTTACTTAAACAATATCACGTCACGAATATCTCAAGGTCCCTTATTTAATATATACGTCCGTAATATAGGAAATGAGTTGTAGAAGGTCTCAGATCTTAACCGAGATTAAACCATTTTGGCATGTTTATGAGGTTTAAAAAAAGAAAGGAAGTAACAAGTTTAAGAACTGTTGAGGATTTACGCAAGAGTAAAAAAAGAGCAGAATCCAATTCTTTGCTTAAGAATGGAACAAAATTTCATGAAGGTACCACACCAAAGATCCTTAATCGCGACTTCCTGTTTAAGATCATTGTATTGATACAGATGGTTGCGCTCGGTTTTTAAGAAGAATTTTATAGATTAAATGAAGAATGTAACTTTAATTAATTAAGTTTTAATTAATATTACTGATCTAATTAACCGAGTTAGTTAGTTAAAAAAGGAAATTAACTGACCTGTCTTTAACTTGACGACAAAAATGCATAACAGCAACGTTGCACACTTCATGACAATTGATGATAAAATTGTAATGATGTATCCTAACGGACACCGCAGCAATTACGGTGTTTGAGACGAAGATATAAGTCTTCTCTCATGTCTTCCTGTACAATGAGTCAGGTGTGCAGCCTTCAGTAGAGAGGCTATTCTCCTCATCCATCTAACCAATGAGGGAGCTTGTCTTAAAAACCGGTTCTCACTCCAATTTTTTTTTAATTTTTTTTTTTCATCCTAAGCCACCATTTGTTTATATTGATTGAATAGGAGCTTGTTTGTTATTAATTTTACGGCATGTTCTGTTCGAATTTCTGAAAAAATAACCGTTTTTATAACTAAAATTTTGTAATAAATCCAGTTTTATGTTGATAAACAACTATTACGTCAATATTTTATGCATATAAAAATTAAATTTTAGTTTTTTAAACACAGATTTTAATATGTTTCCATAGGTAAAATGTTCTTGTGGGTGATGTTGTTGTTCAGGTTTGTACAGGAAATTTTACGTGTTAGTGTTGAAACATGGTTGAAATTTTGATTAAATTTCGTGCTTTAATTAGTGTAATACCTTTTAATATTATATATGACACCCTAAGTAAGGAGGCAACAAACAAAGATTAAGAATCAAGGTTGTCAAGTGTTTTATCCTTGATCTGTCTTATCCCGGAAGTCGCTGACCTAGAAGTTTAGATTTAATAGAAAATTAATATCCTTAAAATTGTTTCTATTGAAATTTTGTTCAAAGGGTAAATATTATTCATTGTTAAAGTATCAAAATATAAATTTTTAGTAAAGGTAACAGACATTTTTTTAAAGGAAACTTGTCCATTCTCTAGAGGCATTGTTTGCTTATTTATCTGATACACCCAGAGTTTATAGGTGCTAGATAGTGAATGGCACCTCGTAGTACAGCCCTTGAACTGGGTGTTGCGGTAAAAAAGTACCTGTTAAGTACGAAAATGTCAAACAAGCAACATTGTTATTAAAATTAATGCCAAAACCACGTGCAAAGATAAGAGAATTACTGCTAAAACGCTCTTAAAAATAATGCACTTAAATTGTTTTACGGTATATTTATAGGTGTGAAATTCTGTTAAAACAGAACAAATAAAGAATAATGCAAAAAAAAATAGCGTGAAAAAGGGCATTAAAATGCTCACCGTACCCTTTTCTACGCACTTTGTGCTTAAAATGTATAAGAAGATGGGAGCATAATCTACATCCAAAGTTACAAAAGAATAGAAAATTAAATCAGAAAATATGCTTAAAAATCTACATTTAATAATACTGAAAGAAGATTCATAACAATAAAAGAAAGGAGGACATAACACGATTCAAAGAGGGAAAAACAATCTATAAAACCTCAGGATTTATCCTATTTAACATTACATCCATAGAATATAGATTAAACCGACTAAATTCCCGAATATTTTATGCTTCAGTGACGTAAAAACGGTTGACCGAAACAAAATATGTTGTCAGGATAACACGCGAACCAATCCATCAAGAGGTGCAACGAGAAGGTATTTCAGCGGGATAGGTGCCATCAGAACGGGAGCGAAATTAAGAAGAAGAAGAAGAAGAAGGAGAAGAAGAAGAGAGAGAGAGAGAGAGAGAGAAAAAAAAAGCAAAGTATCTCAACCAGTCCAATGACCTTCAAATCGGTAGGATGCAAGGACGGATAAGATGCCCCAGGACATGTTTCGGTCAATGTCCCTCCTTGTAATGCTGTGCGGTAGCTGTTGGTCGTGTGTCTAGTTGAACTAGTTATTGCGTCTTGCGTAATCTTATCTGTTGTTTAATAATACATAATATAATTAAACTAGATTTTTTTTGGTTCTAATTTTATTAAAAGCAATTTTCGGACGAAAATTAAAAGAACCAGAATGACGCCGAGGAGGATTATTTGGAGGATTTTTTTTTGCTCTTATACCAGTAGTGTTAATTAATTTAAGACAGAAATATTAAATTTTAGATACATATTTAATTAATGCCTCTAGAGATGTGAAAATTATGTTTGGTTTATATTAAAAGTCTACTGAACTCATTCGTTAGGAGTTTTCCTTTCAGGTTCTTCAGAAAATCTCCGCTTCATTTTCTCAAATAATTGGCCTCCTGTGGTTCCTAAGAAGTAGTACGGCGATATTTTGGATATTTATTGGTCATTTAGTAAAAAAATCCGCTGATTCTCGAAGGATTAAAAAATCCATAAATTCACTCCTGATCCGGATTTATGGATTTAAAGGTTACAAATCATGGATTTTTGTACCTCATACAGACTCATTCATCTATTAACAGGAGGGAAAATAAATTTATACAGTTTTTTATCTGTTAAAAGAGGTCATCTTACCGAGGGACCACCTTTTAACGTTATAAAATACTTCATAACCTCTATTTGGTGACCTATCGATTGAGAAATGTAACGAATTTAATGTACGTTTTAACCCGTATTTTAAAGCTGTAAATAAACATTTGAAACCTCATTAGTAAGACCAAATTTTCAGTCAAAATCCTTCTTTGAAGGCGCAATATTGTATTTTCCTTACTGTACGAATGAATGATTCATCGGAAGTTTCAAGTGTAATGGTTTTATGAAGGAGAGACCAACCGAAACATTCACGATTCACCACACTCTTCTGTTGCTAAAAAAAGGTAATGCAACTTACTAAAAAAATATACAATGCTTTACCTATAATTTATGTATTAAAGCTTAATTTATTACATTGGAAATTTTCTTGAATGATTTACAAATATAATTGACACATGCTACAATGAATAATTTATTTAATTCCATGCTTTTCATAATTTGAGTCATGCTTAAAGGGGCAAGATAGAACTTCTATTTTCGGCCAGAACTTTTCTTCAATTCTTACCATTCAAGCAGGACTTTCAGATTCATTTTTAGTAAGGATTTTAATAGGACTTCGCTTTTCATGAAAACCCAGCACTTTCAGGACCATTTTGCAGGCAAAGCTTTATTTTTCAATTAGTTTTTTTAAATAAAAGGTTATATTTTACTCAGGATCTTAATAGGACACCTCAGAACCTCAGTGCACGAGGTTCAATTAAAGTAGTAAAATGATCCTATAAGAATATGCGTATTTATTCTTACATTATGTACCGGTACAATACGTTCTATTCTGAGTGTAAACATAAGATTGGTAGTTTATAAATAATTGATATAACCTACGTTTCCATTGTTAGAGTCCCTTTCTTTTCTGAATAAAAAGGTATAATAAAAATATCAATTACTTTTGAATAGGTTTGTTTGATATAAGGGTCGATGTTTAAGCGAGGAGTAAAATAATATTTCTTTGTAGACGATGAACTTGACCTATAGGAATTTTTTATTCTCGTATGATAATTCCAAATGGCTTCTTTCTTTGTTCTTTCTTCCATTTCCTTTACGCTTTATCAACCATCTGAGACTCTGTTCAAACTCATGCCCTCAGGTGATACTAATCTGTCTTCGGACGAAAGAAGTCTGTTGTATTTTTTAACTTATTTTTTAAATGTATTTTTACATAAATCTACCTTTATTTCATGTGGATAGGCTTTTAAAATTGTTAAAAATCAGACATAACCTCCCTCGTCAATGATAACAGCAGCGAGACATTTTAAAGTATTCTGGTTCATTATTTTCGTAATTAATTCATTAAATTATAATACAATCAGTTAGCCAAATATAATAACCTGCATTGTGTTTATGATTTTTGCATACAGCGCTCTACTCGAGCGTGTATATACATACATTTAAATTAGATTGTATTACGAATTTAAATATATAAATCAGATCGCAATTTTATTCGTATAAACCAATAATTTTGTATAAAATATTGGACTCTCGTATAACAGTCAAGTTAACTTTAATATATGACACATATAGCCTATTAATTGTAATTTATAAAATTTATACTTAAAAAATCTGAAATTTTACGGGGTTTTTTAATGTAATTTACACGTTGTAATTAATTTTAATCGATTTCAGACGCGAAAACGATCAATTTCTCTCTTAATTGTAATCAAATAATTAAAATTAATCATTTTCGCTTTTAATTACAATTTAAATCGATATTAAATTACCATTAAAAATGATATTGATTAATTTTAAACTATTTAATTATAATTAAAAGAAATTGATTAAAATTAATGTTTTTTTTTAAATTTTAATCCTAATAAAGTGTTTAAAATTGAATTAATTTTTTCTTTTTAACGTGGTTTAAACAAGCTGTATAAATATGTGAAAATTAATTACAATAATTGTATTTATTTGAAAATTTGTGAAATTTTCTACTCGATTCCATGGAGGGATAAATGCCCCTTTACCCCCTCTGAGGATGCCCATGTGTAGTGTGTATATTAGTATGTGCATCATGTAGTGTGCGGTGATGTAACGAACCAATGATGTATTCACATACAACTCGGTATGTGCATACATCATTGGTTCACTTCGCCACTGTGTTATCCTTAGTGTATTTTTTTCACTGTTTTGAAAGTTAATACCAGACAGAACGCTCTGATCTGACTGATACGTGCACGTGATTAATATACGTGCTTCAATACAAGCACGTATATTAATAATCTGTATAAGATCAAGGTCAAGTATGAGAAGAAAAAATCCTGATATACCTACTTAGTATTATACAGATTATATTTTTATTATATTTTATAGACCTATAAAATAAGTAATTTATATTATATCCTATATACTCGATCATCGTAGTATATTTAACTCTCTCCCTCCCCTCCAGTATGGACAGCTTTTCTTATATATAACAGCCTGAAAAGTAATATGTTAGTGCATACATTATCGGTATATGTGACGAAACACACATATGCATTACGTAATGTACTGTACATACTTTATTTGTTCTGTTTAAATATAAAAAGATTAGTTCCAAAAAAACACTAATTTTCTGTAATTGACTACAGATGGCAGTGTGATAAACGTAACGTAATTGATGACATCGCCATCTTTTGTCGATTACAGAAAATAAAATTAAACGTTTCTAAATTGTAATTTTTATTTCATAAATATATTTAAATAAGTTTGTTTTATTCTAATTAATAATTAACTCGTTAGTAAAATACTGTATTTAAATATTAGGATAGAAGTTTTTACGTTACGAATAGTAACACAAAGTATATCACTTGTGAAATTTATTCACACCAGTCAATCTGATATATTAGGATATACTACATTAAAATTAACACTTTTTTTACAGAAAATAAGATATACATATATAAGGTATATATATATATACAATATTATACATATTAGACATATTTAATATAATATAGGGGAGACCGG